GGACAGAGATTGAGTATCAAATGTTGTTTAAAAACATTTTGATTTATTAATTATATAGTTTCTAGTCAACAGAAAATAAAAACTCATATACTGTATAATGTTATGGCTGACAATAATGTGGACACCTATGAACAGACATCATGACACCAATTATACGACACTTACAAAATAGCATTTTTAAATATGAGAGAATTTCTAATAATTAAATAAAGCTGATAACATTGAAATAATATGATTTAATTTTATTTATAATTTATTTTAAAATGAATGAAGCTGTATTAATTTAGTTTTAATACCTCAAATATTACCAGAAATATTAAGTCATTAATCAATGAATGCAGTGTTTTATTGGGTTATTCATTAAGGCTTACCGTATATTGTATTTGATGGTATTCACCGAAAGGTTACTCATTAATCTAAATTCTTACTTAAAATAATATTCAAATGAGTTTAAAGACATGACTTTTTTGTTAGTATTTCTAATAATCTTATAATCAAGAGATATGTGAGAATTAAGTCGACAATAAAAAAAAGTAAATCTAAATTAAGAAATTCAAAGAAAAGTATTAATCGATAAGAAATGGCTTACATTATGTAATACATGGATTCAAAAAATATGTTTAAAATATATGCTCGGGGTCATTCAATTATCATATACATACGTATGACATTAGAAACTTCACAAGTTTATTTTCGTTATAATTGATATTTATTACAATTTCAAATTTTGTCGCAATAGTAAGTTAACTAAAAATATACAATTATTATTATAAGTTTTATTTTATTAATACAGTATCAATATAATATGTGTAACATAAATTAATAGTATGTATTGATTTGAATATATCGATACATTTGTCGCAATAGTAAGTTAACTAAAAATATACAATTATTATTATAAGTTTTATTTTATTAATACAGTATCAATATAATATGTGTAACATAAATTAATAGTATGTATTGATTTGAATATATCGATACATTTGGACTTTTGATGCAAACCAAATATTTGTGAATTTCTTATTCACAACAAGTGAAACACTTTCTCCAAATTTGCATTTCATATAAACTTTATATGATTTATATTATAAAATTATATGAATTACTCACTTACAGTATGTGTTAATCATTAACAGTTAATGTAAACATTTTTATTAATTTATTGTTAATAATATTTTACGGTTGGATTAGACATATAGTATATGATAAACTATTTACTTACTTGAGTATATTATTTAAAATATTGTATGTTTATTTTTAACCCCTTTTGAAAAAACTTTACAAACGGTTTATAATACAAATGAATAAATTAGCAGAAAATTTCGCCAAATTTTTTATGACTGATCTTTTTGTTTTAAAACAAATCTCTGCAGATTTTTATTTTTTAATGTTATAGTCATTTATTTTAAATGAATATTATATAATTTACAGATCAGAATGTTGTATTAATAGTTTAATTCATATAATGTTAGTACTGTACTGTATTAGACTAGGATGGGATACTGACCCCAACCATACTCTCAAAAACTTAATAAGGATATTGATAATATCATATTGTTAATTTAATACAATGATTTTATATTAAATTATTTATAAATTAAATTATCAAGTATACCTAAAACAATTAGTTACTATTGAAAAGCTAATATAAAATTATATTTAATTTTGAATTAAATTCATTAAAAATAATTGTTATTAGGAAACAGGGATTTAAAAATAAATCAATGCTAACTTAATGGCTATGTTTGAGTTGTTTGTGGGCTTAAGTGTATGTATAAGTGAACGCCAATTCTTTCGCTAATTCTGGTTCTGTCAGAATTTCAGTTAAAAATACAGTTTAATTTCATTGACTAAACCTTACATGCTGATAATTATTAAAAATAGATTAAGTTTTTGCATTAAAAATCAATTATCTGCTTATAATTTATAACTTGTATGTAAACTTCAAACTATAGCTATTTATATATTGTTTTGTTTTCCTAACTATTTTTAGTCACTTTCACTGATATATCAAGAGTTTAGTCAAACAGAAAGCAAATATTTCTCATGTCTTATATCCTATTAATTCATAAATCTTTATCACAAAAATGATTCTTTGTGAATGATATAATATTTATATATTAATTTAATATTTGATGGGTTAATAAATGTCTAGTCACTAGACTCTATCTAGACTATATACTAGACTCTAGTGTATAGATTCAAATGAATGTATGGCTCATGTGTTAATCGAAAACATTTCATTCATTAAATCAAATGATTAATTATTTGCAAACATTTGTCATAAAAATTAAATAAACTTTTCTAATGAATTGAAAATCTTATTGAAAAAATAAATAATTAAATAAAGTCAATAACATAACTGTTAACTAAAAACCAAAACCTATTGACTCATAATAGATAACACTGTTGATCATTGAATCTATTTATTTGTTTAAAACTTATTTTTATTAAAAGCTAATTATTATCAAGTTAATAAATGTCTGACAATACAACAAGAATTGATTTTGACATTTATAGAGAAAATTTATGAATTTTATTAAAAATATTTATTCTTTAATTAGAATTGTTAGCAAATAATATTTGATTAAAACTTCAAATAAAATACTAAATATATGAATGGCTCACATTTGAAACATAATCTCAAATAATTTGTTAAAGATATCTAAATTCTATATTATTAAAGATTTTAAAAAATTTTAATTTTTTGTCTTTTATTATAACTGATTGGTATATTAAATATGAAAACCATAGAATTACGGGTACTCATTTTTATACATTTATCTCTCTTTTAATTATATTATCTGTTATATATTTGTTGAAAACGAAATTCTTGATAATAAATGTGAACTTCAAATTAATATTATATTTATTCTTAAAATAAACAATTAATTTCTGTTGAATCAAAAATAGAAAAATATTTTTGGCGAATATTTCTATACTTCCTATACGTGTGTGCATTGCTATGACATATCAGAGACTTTGATATGACTTCAATGAAAGTGAGGCAAGAATGTTCACAATTCAATGTCAAAATAACATTTCAAATTATGTGTTTAATACTAATATTTGTCTTAATTTTGAATATTAGATCATGAAATCACTTCTAATGAGAGGCTATTGTGTTAAGAGATTATCGCATTACATAACTCTTTAAAAAGATTCTCTCACTTTAAATTCACACAAACAAATGCACTAAAAATATATATAAATAAATTTCACATAGAATTAGTATTTTCAGTGAATGACAGATAAATAGTCTAAATAATAAATTTTGCAAATTCTCCAATTGAACAAAAAACAGTCAATGAATTGCAAAGAGATATTGCAATTCAAAAATAAATGTTTAGATAATTATATCAATCATACTGTGCGTAACGGAGTGCTACTAATAATAATAACTATCGCATGTATTAACACTTTTTATATACATTATAAGAGAGAATAAAACTCATTATTTGTTTCGCATTTTATGAAAACCGTATTTCTATCAAAGATAGGACTGACACACAAAAAATCGTCACCAATGATGCCGGCGCTCTCCTCGTACAGTATACCAGCGATCAGTGTTTACAAGCAAAGAGGCATTTCTTAAAAAAGCCTACAGCCATATATGGATTGCACTGAATTCTTGACAGAATACCAGTGCCAGCGATAGTGAGAGATGAGAGGAAAAGGAGCTCAAAGACAGAGAGCATCAGTGAATGAGTGCATCAGTTGGCGCTTTCATTGAATCCCGAAAAAGAGTACATTAAGTAAGCGATCATTTGTGCGATTCTTTCACTTCATATCAATGATAACATACGGAATATGAGAGAACAGTCACTGAAACACATGAGCGCACAGACTATGAGTGCATTAATATAGCAATGAGTGCCCATTCCTACAGTTCCTCAAAATCTAAACTTAAATATTCAAATTACGGTAAATTAGCTTTTAATTAACTTTTATTATCTAAATATTTATAAACATATTCCGTGTTTATAGACTCATCAGCCGACTCATCCAGACATTCAATTGGCTCTGCATATGATACCAGTTCATCACGAGTGGGAACCGGGACGTCCAGATGGGACAGAGGCTCCTCTCGTTTGGACACACTCTCCACCAGATTAGATACAACTCCCGCTCGACGAGAGAGTGATTTCGACACATCTTCAGCATTCAGAACATCTTCGGGAACCTCTCGACTGGAGAGGACCTCAAGATATTCACTGCAAGACTCATCCGATTTGGACGCACCGGCCTCTCGTTGGGGCCGAACCACGACTACTACTTCACGATTCATAACAGACACCGATTCAGACACCGGACCCTTCAGTAGACGAGAGTCTCGCACTTCACGACTAATAAGTGACTCGTCTTTGGATTTGGACACCTCTTCCTCCAGATATGACCGAACCTCTAGAATATTAAGAGAATCTATTGATTCTGAAGTGACGCCATCGTCAAGATATGAGACCAGGAAGTCATCCAGAATTTTGACAGAATCTCCAGAAGTAGACACTACCTCTCGATGGGATAGAACCTCAACCCGATTTGGCACAGAATCGCCTGAATTTGAGTCATCGACCACCAGATATGACAAAAAATCTTCACGTTTAGTGTCAGTGTCTTCAGACATAGACGAACCATCGACCAGATATGATAGGAGTTCCAGATATACCACCGATTACTCCACTGAATTAGATGCCGGGTCTCCCAAATGGGATACAGAATACTCGAGTCAATACAATCGTTGGGATTCAGCCGTCTCTCGATTAGACCGACAGTCCTCCAGAGTGTCGACCGATTCAACCGATTTAGACACTGGAGTCCCAGGATATGATAGCCGTTCCACTCGTTTGGATCGTCAAACGTCTCGCACATCTGAAGCCGGCTCTGAATCGTCTCGTTCTGAAAGACGATCTAAATATGAGTCTTCATATGGATTAACACAACAGTCCGATGCAGACAATGAATCCTCTGGTTTAGTGCGGACCACGTCTGGGATTATTAGGGGAAAGGCTTTACGAGAAACAACAGACTCGGAAGTGGACTCCACTCCAAGTAAACCGAAAGTCAAAAAGACTATAAAATCTGTTTCTCAATCAGGTTTGTCATCAGAATTGCATTAATTATCACAATTACTGTATATGTACTATATACATATTATCTATTAAACTGTATATTATAATAAGTTATTAATATCACTATCAGAGGGTCAGACGGCAACTCTTGAGTGTGAAATCTCTGGATACCCAACACCTTCTGTTCAATGGCTTAAAGAAAATAAAATTATCTCCAATGAAGATCGCTTTGAGACGAGATCTAATGGAAACAAACACTATCTTATCATAAATGATTTGAAACCTGAAGACGTTGGTCTCTATACAGTGGCCGCCACTAACACTTTGGGTACATCATCATCGAGTGCTGCCATTAATGTCTTACCCGGTATGTCGTGATTATTATCTTTAATGACTGTTTCCTATATTTAGAGTTTACTCCCATTTGTTTTATTTTATTTTATCACTTAAAGTGTGATTTATGTCTAAACACTCATAAATCATAAGAAACTTAAATGAAACCTAAGTTTTATTACTTTTCCATATATTTTATGCCATTATTTAATAATCCACTTATTAATTGCTAAATGAATGAATGCATTGATAAATTATATCTCAAAACTTAATTATGTTTTTTGTGTGAAGTGTGTTTTCTCATACAATTATTTCATAGAATGCACACAAATTGTTCTCAAATTAACTTTAATTATTTTCAAACACTTAAAGGCGTGAGTAGTCCGACGTTTGACTCGAGACCTACCAGTCCCGGCGGTTCATTCTTACCCCGAGCGCCAAAGTTTAAGGTTAAGCTCAAAGACACAGAACTATTGGATGGGACGACAGTTCGCTTCGAACTAGTAGTGCGAGGAATGCCTATCCCTACCGTCTCTTTGTGAGTGCAAACACAGTGGATATGATTATAAGAAGTGTTTCACAACTTTTGGATAACATTTCAGTTATAAAGACAACGAACCATTAAAAGAAGACAAAAGAATCAAAATTTTATTTGAATCGAAAGAAGTCTTCGAATTAATGATAGATCACATCACCGAAGAAGACGCCGGTCTTTACAAATGTGTGGCCATTAATAGTGAGGGAAAGGATGAGACTTCTGGTAGAATAACAGTGACGAGTGAGTAGTGTGTCTCTAGTCTTAACGATTGCATCGAAAGTTAACGATTGCTTCCCAAACAAAACAGAACACAAAGACGTCTTCCCCGGTATCGAAGACGAGCCATCCGTCGACTTCACAAAAGCCGATTCATTAAGTCCCAGATCGCGGTCACCGGTATTCAAATGGTTCAAAGATGGCAAAGAGTTTGAGGCGTCGGAGCGCTTTCAGGTGCAGTTCGACGACGAAGAGGACACCATTACTCTGGTCTTTCAACACGTGAAGCCTGAAGACGCAGGTCTGTATACATGTGCCGCTTCGACCAGTAGTGGAAAGATATCATGCAGTGCTGAATTGACAGTTCAAGGACTCCTCAACCAATTGCCCAGAGATCCCATTCCCCCCACCATTAAGCTAGCGATGGCCGACGTGGAGGTTAGTGAAGGCGCGTCGGCTATGCTTGAGGCCAAAGTGGCCGCTTATCCCCGGCCGCAGATCCGGTGGTATAGGGGCCGAGAGCTTATTGAGAGCTCCGAGAGGTATAAATTCCTGTATGAAGACGAGGAAAGTTATACTCTTGTGATTAAAAATACCAAAAAAGAAGACGAAGGGATGTATAGAGTCGTAGCCATCAATGACTTGGGAGAGGTGGACACCAGCGCTAAACTAACGGTGAATGTGTCGCCGAGGTTTAGGAGACAAATGAGAGACCAGTCGGTGATGACCGATGAGTGTCTCAAACTTGAGGTTGAGATCGACGCCAATCCGACGCCAGACGTCAAGTGGTTTAAAGACGGCCAACAGATTAAGGAAAAGAAGGGAATTAAGATATTGAGTGACACCGAGAGAAGTGTTTATAACTTAATGATTGAAAAAGTGAAGATTGAAGACTCCGGGAACTACTCGTGCGTCGCCACCAATGAGTTGGGACAACAGACTTCCTATAATATCGTTACAGTCAATGGTAATTGAAATTCATTTTAATAATCGATTTAATTATTTTGAAAAATTGTATTTTAATATTTTTAATTACCAACAAAAGGTCCTCCAGTTTTCAAGAGTAAACTGGAAAATGTTGAGATAGTGGAGGGCCAGAGAGCGGAACTGGCGGTTACTGTTGGGGGTTATCCCAAACCTAACGTTAAATTTACTAAAAATGAGAAACAAGTGAAAGAGGACTCGAGGGTTAAGGTGACCGAAGACAAAGAGGGATCTTTTAAGTTAGTCATTAATGAAAGCTCTTCATTGGATTCGGGAAAATATAAATGTATTGCAAGTAACGAATGGGGAGAAGAGACCAGTGAAGCCGAGCTTACCATCAAAAAGAGTTCAATGAAACCTAATTTCATTAAAAAATTACGCGACTCTGAGGCTAAGGATGGAGACCAACAAATTGAGTTCAACGTTCAAGTCGAGGGAATTCCCAAACCGGAGATCAAATGGTTCCGCGAAGGGCTTGAGATTAAGGAAAGGGATGGCTTTAAGTATGTGATCGACGACGAGAATCAGAGCTATACTTTGATTATCCCAAAAGTGAGCGGTGAAAGTGCCGGTAGCTATAAATGCGAGGCTCATAACAGTGAGGGATCGGCACAAACCAGTGGTGTGTTGACAGTGAATACTTCGCCCAAATTCATCAAAAAGCTCGAAGATATTTCAGTCAATGAGGAAGAAGAGGTACGGCTTGTGGTGAAAGTGGTCGGTTGTCCGACTCCTTCCGTCAAATGGTTTAAAGACGAAACTCGAATCGAAACCAACGACAGACGACTTCGATATGAAGAAGCATCTAATGAATACACTTTGCATTTGAGTAACACTTCGGCTGAAGACAAAGCAGTTTATAAAGTGATTGCAGAGAATGTCTTCGGAAAGTGTGACACAACAGGAAAACTCAACGTCTCGTTAAACGCCACAAAACCAATCTTCACTACAAAGTTGTCTGATAGGGAAGCACTTGAAAACGAGACAAACATAGAGTTTTCGGTAACAACGGATTCGCAGACAACTAAGCCTACAATCAAGTGGTTTATTGACGAAACAGAAATCACAGAAAGTGATAAACGTTATAAACTGGTGGTTGACCAACAGAAGGACGCATACAAATTGGTCATAAAGTCAGCGACTGAGGAATCTGTCGGTCAGTACAAGTGTTTGGCCACCAATTCTTCGGGCAGTGCTGAGACTAGCGCTAAGTTTACTGTCGTTACGAAACCGAAGTTCATTAAAGGCTTAGAGGACGTGGAGGCCAACGAAGGCGAGACCGTCGCCATGACTGTCAAAGTGAAGGGTTCGCCCGAACCTGAGGTCAAGTTCTTGAAGGACGGGCGCGACGTATCGGCGGAAGCGACGGTTGTCATCAAAAAGGAAATCGACGACATCTACATCTTGGAGATCGAGAATATCCGCATTATTATGAGTGGAGAATACCAGTGCCATATCAAGAACACAGCCGGCGAGGCCTTCAGCAAAGGAACGGTTATCGTAAACAGTAAACCAAAGTTCGTGAAGGACTTAGAAGACAAGGAATCGGCCGCCTCTGAGAACGTGGTGCTCGAAGTGGTGGTGACGGGTAGTCCGACTCCAGAGATCACGTGGTTTAAAGACGGGAAGCGAGTGGACGGAACTGAGCGCGTGATACTGGAGTCCCGCGAAGAGGTGTTTAAATTGAAGTTAGACAACGCATCAGTCGACGACTCCGGGGTCTATAAGTGCAGAGCGAGGAATAAGTCCGGAGAAGTGGACTCCAATGTTGCCAAAGTCAATGTGAACGAAGGCGATAGAGCGCCGGTATTTGTCAAACACATCGCTGACTCGAAAGTAGTTGTCGGCGAAGACGTTAGATTTGAGACCAAAGTGGAGGCCAAACCCGAACCACAGGTCGTATGGAGTAAAAACGGAGTGCAACTCAAGCCGAGTAACAAGATTGAGATGAGAGAGACGGCCGAAAATACATACGAATTAGTCTTAAAAGACTTAGAGGTCGAAGACTCCGGAGATATACTGTGCAGAGCGGAGAACAGTAAAGGACAGGCGACAGACAGAGCGAGGCTCACAGTGCAGGGTATGTGCACTCCATTACTAAACCACATCTTAACCATTGATTTTAGAGTTGATTCAACAGTTTTGTCCGAAACTGAAACAATCTGTCACTCATTCCCTATTTACAGGTTTCACACAGTTGTCTGTAAAACTCATGCATTTTGCTTAATTTTAATATTCATTACTAATGAATCATTAGTGTGTTATTAATCATGAATTATGATTAAACTTAATTCAGTGTTAACCCATTCTATACCAATGATCCCTTTCCACCCAAGTGTCGAAGAGTTCTTAAGAGCTGTTCATTCAATTGTTTGCTTGAAATACTCATTAATAATGAAATGATTTGTGTTGTATTAAACAGAACCCGAATCGCCGACAATCGTAAGTTTGTCGGACGTGTCTGTCGTTGAGGAAAGTGCAGCTAAACTGGAGGCCAACATCACGGGTACCCCGAAGCCAGTCGTCAATTGGTATAAAGACGGCGAACCGATTGCCGACGATCTAGTGTTTAGTGAACCGGAGAATGACTTGTATTGGATTCAACACAACTCTGTCACTGAAGAGTTGTGCGGCAAATACGTGTGCAACGCATCCAACAGTGTCGGCGACGCTCAACAATCGGTCCAACTGTCCATCAGTGGTCGCAGACCTAAATTTACCCGTGAATTGGATGACATCATAACGATGTCCGTTGGGAAAGAGAAAGGAAAGTTGGTTTTGGGACAAAACGCGGTGTTTGAGGCCGAAGTGGTGGGTATTCCGACCCCTAAAGTCCAGTGGATTAAAGATGGCGTCCAAATGGTTCCCAGCGATCGGATTACCATTAATAATGTGGAACATAACTACACGTTGGAGATCAAGACTCTCGCCCGGAACGATGTGGCCCAGTATGTGTGCAAAGCTGTCAACCCTCACGGCGAGGCCAAGAGTGTGTGTCTCTTGAAATTCCAGGACACACCCCATCCCCCGATCGTCAAGAAAGAGTTGCCGAAGACTGTGACCGTCGAAGAAGGTACTCGAATGTGTCTCGTGGCTCAAGTAGACGGCGAACCCATACCTTCCACACAATGGACCAAAAATGGCGAACCAATCAAACCGTCGGATGACTGCAAGATTGTGGACCGACCCGACGGAACTACATCTTTGATTGTGGAGAGCGTGAGTCCACAACATTCGGGCGAATACGCCGTCAAAGCCATCAATCTTAAGGGAGAAGTGATTACATCGACGGCAGTGAGTGTCGAACCGCCAAAACGGAAGCCATCTTTCGATAAAGAATTACCGAAACAAATGATTTTAGAAGAGAAGCAATCGTTGAATCTGACGGTCAAAGTAGACGGACAGCCAACACCTGATATTAAGTGGACTAAAGACGGCAGTCCTGTCAAGACGTCCAGCAATGTAGTGATTGACCAAAACTCAGACGGAACCCAATCGTTACGTATACTCAGCGCAAAAGCCGAAGACTCTGGCGTTTATATGATCCGAGCGACCAATACTGGAGGTCAGACCACTTGCTCGACAGCAGTCAAAGTGAGTCCTCCGCAGACAGCGCCCATCATTGACAAGAAGTTACCAAAACGTGTAAGCATTGAATCGGGAGAACCTCTTGAATTGGTTGCAAAAATTAGTGGCGAACCCATACCAGACGTCAAGTGGTCTAAAGATGGCGTCGATATTAAAGAATCCGATAATTTTAAAGTCGAAGTTAAAGCCGACGGAACCGTTACTCTTAGGAAAGAGTCATCAGAACCGGAAGATAAGGGGAAATATGAATTGATTGCAAACAACGCGAAAGGAAGTGTGAGTGCAGTCACTGAAGTGGATGTAAAACCCGTTCAATTCAAAGACATTTTCATCAATAAAATACCCCAAAGTCTTAACGTGTTTGAAGGACAGCCACTGCTGATGGCGGCAAAAGTTGAGGGAAAGCCAGAGATTGAATGGACTAAAGACGGAAAACCAATTAAGCCGTCGAGTGATATAAAGATTGTCACCAAAGACGACGGAACTATTGCATTGAGTATTGAGAGCGCAAAACCTCAACATTCAGGACATTATGCGGTGATCGCAAAGACACCAAAGGGTGATGTGATCTCAGCCAGTGATGTCAATGTATTGAGCGGTGTCTTCAAAGCACCTAAAATAGAGACACAATTTCCTAAAACAGTAGACGTCTTGGAGGGAAAGCCATTGATCCTAACAGCAAAAGTCGAGGGCCAACCACTCGGAGACGTGAAATGGCTTAAAGATGACGTTCCTGTTAAACAGTCTGATGGGTTCAAAGTTGAGATAAACCCCGACGGAACTGTTAGCTTAAGTGTGGATAAAGCGAGAACACAGGACTCCGGAAGATATACCCTTATAGTGGAGAATGATTTGGGAGAAGTGAGGGCAGGCACTGATGTGGACGTCCAGAAAGGACCCATCATTGCAGACAAATTACCCGAAACTATTGAAGTACTTATTGGGAACCCGTTTATCTTAATTGCAAAAGTTGATGGAAATCCTTTGCCTAAAGTTGAGTGGACTAAGGATGGAGTTCCTGTGAAAGCAACAGACGGCGTTAATCTTGAGATAAAACCTGACGGAACAGTAGCCCTAAGTGTAGATAAAGCTAGAGTTGAAGACTCGGGTGATTACGTATTAATCGCAAAGTCCTTATCTGGAGACATAAAGTCCGCCACTAAAGTGGACGTTCAAAAGGGACCCATAATTGTGGATAAACTTCCCGAATATGTAGACGTAATCGTCGGAAAAGCGTTGAGTTTAGCGGCGAAAATTATAGCCGACACTAAGCCTGACATCAGTTGGACTAAAGATGGTGTTCCCATCCAAGCGAGTGATAGCACAAGATTTGAGACCAACCCCGACGGAAGCGTTGAACTAAATATCAGTAACGCTAAACCCATCGATACCGGAAAGTATGCCATCGTCGCGAAGACTGCTTCAGGAGAGGCTGTTTCATGTAAGTTCAGGAAAGTTATGTTTTGTGGTCTTTCGGGCGATACTTCTTTAGACACCCCTCGAGACACGTTCTCCTCATTTGTGTCTATATTTCTATTGACAACTCTTTTACGCCGATTGGATTCAAGTGATAGCACAAGATTTGAGACCAACCCCGACGGAAGCGTTGAACTAAATATCAGTAACGCTAAGCCCATCGATACCGGAAAGTATGCCATCGTCGCGAAGACTGCTTCAGGAGAGGCTGTTTCATGCAGTGATGTTGACGTCCAGTCCGGACCCATATTTAGAGAACAATTACCCGAATCCGTGAATGTTATCGAAGGAAGACCTGTGAATCTATTCGCCAGAGTTGATGGTAATCCGTGGCCTCAAGTAGAGTGGAGTAAAGACGGCGTTTTGATTGCTGCCAACGATTCCACTATTATTAAGTGTAAACCAGACGGTGCCGTATCCCTACTCATTGAGAGCTCAACCCCAGACGACACCGGAAAGTACGCTGTGATCGCTAAAAGTCCAACCGGTGAAGCCGTATCTATCAGTGACATAGAAGTTAGAAAGGGTCCAATTATTAAAGAAAAGTTACCTCAATATGTAAACGTATTGGAAGGACAACCACTGATTCTAACGGCTAGATCTGAAGGAATATCCATCAAAAATGTCAAGTGGGCTAAGGATGGCGTTCCCATTAAAGCCTCTGACAGTGTCAGAGTTGAGTCCAAGCCAGACGGACATTTAGCTCTCAGCATAGATAACGCTCAGACATCAGATGCCGGCAAATATGAGTTAATTATCAAAACGCCAACTGAAGAGCTCAAGACGTCTAGTGATGTGAATGTCGTTAAAAGTGATGATAAATCGCCTCAATTGGTCACTAAATTCCCTAAAGCTATTGATGTCATTGAAGGAAAACCTTTGACTCTAACAGTTAAAGTAGATGGAGAACCGATGCCTGAAATCAAATGGCTTAAAGATGACGTTCCCATTCAAACCAATGATTGCATCACAATTGACACCAAACCCGACGGAACGGTAACATTAAGTGTTGATAACACTCGACCGCAAGATTCGGGAAAATATAGTGTTGTGGCCACCAATCCTTCGGGAGAGATAAGGGCGTTGACTGATGTGGTCGTCCAAAAAGGACCGGTAATCGCACAAAAATTGTTAGAAAGTGTAGTAGTGGTGGCTGGGAATCCGCTGGTCTTACTTGCAAAAGTCGAAGGCTTGAAAGCGCCTACATTTCAATGGACTAAAGATGGAGTTCCTGTTAAAGCTAAAGATGGCATTAATATTGAGACAAAACCGGACGGAATTGTAGAGTTAAGTGTAGATAAGGCTCGACTGCAAGACATGGGTGAGTATAGACTGACAGTGAAGGGGACGACTGGAGATTTGGTTACGTCCAGTAAAGTGGACGTACAGAAGGGCCCCATAATTGTGGACAAACTTCCTGAATATGTGGACGTTATGATTGGAAAGCCTTTGACTCTTTCGGCCAAAGTTGACGGACAGCCCATTCCTATCGTTAAATGGCTTAAAGACGGCAATCGTATCCAACCGTCAGATTCAATGAGAATAGAGACCAAACCCGATGGAAGTGTTGCTCTGAGTATTGATTGCATACAAAGCGGGGATTTAGGCAAATATACGATAATCGCCAAGAATTGTGTCGGAGAAGCAGTCTCTGAGTGTGCTGTCGACGTCCAGACCGGACCTATCATTAGAGACAAACTCCCGGAGACGTTGAATATCATTGAAGGACATCCGTTCGAACTGATCGCCAAAGTTGACGGAAATCCTATGCCTGAAGTAAAGTGGACTAAAGATGGAGTTCCTGTTGAGCCGATGGAAGGCATTGAGATTAGATCCAAACCCGACGGAACTGTTTCACTAAACATTGATTGCGCACAAAATGACGACTCCGGAAGATATGCCGTCATAGCCAGGAGTCCAAGTGGGGAAGTGCTCTCAAAGAGTACGGTTGACGTCCAAAAGGGTCCTATAATTAAGGAAAAACTACCCGAATATGTAAACATTAATGAGGGACAGCCTTTGAGATTGTTGGCTCGAGTTGAGGGCCAACCTATTAATGATGTGAAATGGACTAAGAATGGTGTTCCCATCGAAGCCGCTAAAGGCACATCGTTTGAGACCAAACCAAATGGTGACATAATTTTAGACATTGAAAACACTCAACCGTCAGATGCGGGCAAATATGTGCTAATTATCTCAACACCAAATCAAGATTTAAAAACAATGAGTGATGTGAATGTCATCAGAAATAACTCAAAAGAACCGGAAATTTTGAATAAATTCCCAGAAGTATTGGATGTGATTGAAGGCAAACCATTGTTATTAAGCGCTAAGATTGCTGCCGAACCCAAACCAACTATTCAATGGCTTAAAGAGGACATACCTGTGGTCGCGGGTAAAGGTGTTAAAATAGAGTCTAAACCGGACGGTACTGTAACCTTGCATATAGTCAACGCTCAGCCCCAAGACTCGGGTAAATATACTTTAAAAGTAGAGAATCCTTTTGGAGAGGCGAAGGCTTCGAGTGAAGTGGACGTCCAGAAGGGTGGACCCATCATTGCCTGCAATCTACCAGAAAGTGTAGACATAGTGGTCGGCAAACCGTTGACTTTGGCCGCTAAAATAGATGGCGAACCAAAACCACAGGTCAAATGGACTAAAGATGGAGTTCCACTCACAGAGACTGAAGGCATGACTATTACCAGCAAACCCGACGGAACCGTTGAACTAAGTATAGACAGAACTAAACCTGAAAATACGGGTCAGTACGCAGTCGTGGCCTCATCTCCAGCGGGCGAAGTCTCATCCATCAGTAATGTTGATGTTCTTAAGGGACCGTTAGTTTTGGTCAAACTTCCAGAAAGTTTAGATATAATTGCAGGAAAGGCACTGAATCTGAGGGCCAAAGTGGACGCACAGCAGTCGCCGTTAATTAAGTGGACTAAAGATGGTATTCGTGTCGAACCCGACGAACACATCCGCATTGACTCCAAACCCGACGGAACTGTTTCTTTAGATATAGATTGCGCTCAACTGAACGACACCGGAAAGTATGCGGTGATCGCCAAGACTAGAGATGGAGAGGACGAGTCGTCCAGTAATGTGTTTGTCCAGAAGGGACCGGTAGTTATCGAGCCATTGCCGGAATCTGTTAGCATAGTTGAAGGAAAACCACTGAATTTGACGGCAAAATTCGACGGCAAACCTATGCCTGAAGTGCAGTGGTTTAGAGATAACGTGCCGATTAAGCCGACAAAAGGACTCGAGATTAAGTCGAAACCCGACGGAACCACTTCTCTGAGCATCGGTTCCGCTCAGGAGAAGGATTCGGGCGAATACGCGGTAATCGCAAAATCTCCGTCAGGAGAAGTCATGTGTTTATCAAATATTGAGGTTAAAAAAGGCCCCGTTTTTAAACAGAAGCTGCCCCGGGCTGTAGAGGTAGTTGCGGGTAAACCGCTTAAATTAGTGGCCAAAATAGACGGACTACCCCAACAACAACCCGTTCCACCGATTGTCAATTGGGTTAAAGACGGATATCCGGTTCGGTTTACGGAAAAAATTAAGTTCGAGACCAAACCCACAGGACTCGTGTCGCTGAGTATCGCGTCGACACTCCCGAAGGATACCGGAAAATACGCGGTCATCGCAAAGACACCCGAAGGCGAGATTGTGTCGACTTCTGTGGTAGCCGTCAAGAATCTGCCAGTTTTTATCGACTCATTGCCGAAAACACTTGATGTCGTGGAGGGAAAGCCGTTAAAATTGTGCGCAAAAATAGAGAACGACAGCATTCCTCAAATTGTATGGACTAAAGACGGCGTTCCCATTAAGCCATCGGATAGTGGAGTCCTCATCAAAACAAAACCGGACGGAACTGTAAGTTTAGAGATACTGAAAGCACAGTTAGGAGACAGCGGACAGTACTCAGTGGCTGTCAAAGCGCCCGAAGGAGAGATCAAGAGCTCGTGTGATGTAAGCGTCCAAAAGGGGCTCATAATTATAGATAATTTGCCGCATTCTGTGAGCGTATGCGAAGGACGACCACTTCATCTGAGTACTAGAATTGATGGTAAACCACTGCCAGAAGTGACATGGATTAAAGATGGCGTCACTATTAAGCCAGACTCTGATGGCTTTGAGATCAGGTCTAAACCCGACGGCACTTATATGTTGACCTTAGGTTCGGCTAAACCCACGGATTCTGGAGAGTATGTAATGATCGCCAGAAATCTTAACGAAGAAGTGGTTGCCGTCACTAATGTTGACGTCGAAAAAGGACCCGTTCTTCGCGAGAAACTACCAGAAAAAGTGAATGTCGTTGAAGGAGAGCCATTGGTGTTGAGCGCCAAGATTGAGAGCGAGACTCCGCCTGAAAAGATTATATGGACTAAGGATGGCGTTCCTGTTAAGGCATCCGACGCTATTAAGTTAAAGACCAGACCTGATGGCAGTGTATGTCTGAGCATCGATTGCGCCAAACTATCGGACGCCGGAAAGTACGCCGTTTTCGCGAAGATCGGCAACAGAGGTGTCGGTTCTATGAGTGTCGTCTCTGTATCGAAAGCACCCGAAGAAAAGACACCGCAAGAAGAAGAGGTTCCCGAAGAGGACCAACAATTGGAGTTCAGAGACAAACTTCCGAAATCGTTATCAGTAGTGGAGGGAAATCCGCTGAAATTGGTGGCAAAAATCGCTCGACGAGGAGAACGCATACCCGAAGTCAAGTGGACTAAGAATGGCGTTCCGGTCGAGGAGTCAGATCGCGTACGACGCGAATGGACGCCAAACGGAACCGTTTCACTAAAGATCGACAGCGCCTTGTTATCAGACGCCGGAAGCTATTCATTGAGTTTCAAGACATCCGACGGCATGAAGAGCTGTGCCGTCGCTGTTCAGGTCTCACGTAAGGCAAACATATTATCATTTCTTCTGTAAAATTAAATCATTGTTGACATTGTTTTACAGCCAAATCAACTGTCGATAGGCCGGTCTTCATTAAAGGTTTGTCCAGAATCTCTGCTGAAGAGGGAAAATCCTGTCGACTCGAAGGTAAAGTCTCCGGAGATATCGATTCAATCAATTGGTTCAGAAACGGAGAAAAATTATCAGCGAATGAACACTTTGGGTTCGTTAAGGAATCGGACGGTACTATTGCTCTACTCATTGATTCCGTCAAATCTGATGATTCGGGAGAATATTCTGTCGATGTGTCCAATAAGAGTGGAAAGGATGAGAGCTCTGCTGTCCTTAAAGTCCTTCCAAAGGCCAAAGAAAAACCAATATTTTTGGAAGAATTGAAACCAATTATTACCAACGAAGGCAACAAATTAGTTCTTAAGGCTGTCTATAAGTCAGACCTTCCGGTGACCGTTAAGTGGATGAAAGATGGTTTCGATTTACAGTCCAATAATAGGATCCAAATAAGTGAAGGGACGGACGGAACGGTCACTTTGACCATCGGATCGGCACAACTGGACGATAGCGGAAAATATACGATTTCTGTGATCAATGACGAGGGAAGAGTGCGAAGTAGTGGTGCCGTCACTGTTGGCTCCAAAGGCGACAATAAACCGCTTATAACTGAAGGTCTCATTCCAGTCACTCTTATGGCCGGCGAGCTCGCGAAGCTGACAGTGAAGGCCACCGGAGAACCCATTCCTGACATTAGATTCATCAAAGATGGCCAACAGGTAATACCCAACGATAGGGTGCATATCAAAGGTCAAGCCTATGGTAAGACGGAACTGGTGTTCGATGAGGTGAGGCCTGAAGATGAGGGCAATTATACAGCCGTTGCAGTCAATGACAGCGGAGAAGCCAGAAGTAGTGCTCCCGTTCTCGTCAACAGTAAGCCATCGATTTGTATGTTTTGTATTTGAAATTTAATTTATTCTCAAATCTATACGAAAGGATCGCCAAAGTTTGAGAAACCATTGACTGATACGACAGGAATAGAAGGATATCCAGCAAAACTGGAGACTAAAGTGGACGGACGGCCTCAACCAGACATCAAATGGACAAAAGATGGACAAACACTACGTCCAGACGGAACTCATCTTAAACTGTATGCGGGAGACGACGGCATTCATACTCTTTTATTTGACAAGTGTTCACCAAATGATTCGGGTATGTGTTGTGTCTTTACATTTCTCTTCAATATAATTATATCTCAAATCATTTTGTACTTAAGGAACGTATGGTGTGATTGCAAGCAACGAATTCGGAAAAACTGAGACTTCGGCCCCGTTTTCAGTAAAATCCAAAACAGAAGACATGGGACCCGATTGTGCGCCACTTTTTATTGGTTCCTTACGAGACGTTGTGGTAAATGAGGGACAAACCATCGATTTCTTTGCTCAAATCAAAGCCAATCCTATCCCCGATATTAAATGGTATTTCGAAGGCCAAGAGATCAGGACTTCTGCTAAGATTCAAATATCTTTCGACGGATCGATGGCTCAGTTGAAGATAACTAAATGCGAGACAAAGCATAAGGGCTTATATGAGCTGAAAATCTCTAATAGTTTAGGAGACTCGACCTCTAAAGCAAAGGCCGATGTAATGGGCAAAAGTGGACCCAAATTTGTCCAAAAGTTTAGTGACTCAGAAGTGGGTCTCTCGGAGCCTTTGAAACTGGTTTGTCGAGTGATTGGTTTCCCAGAACCAGATATAGAGTGGTATTGTAATGGAAATCGTATTGAAGCGGGAATTCATTACAGTATTATCAGAGAAGGAGACGTCTCTTCTCTTGTGATCGTTCGGCCAACAGATAAGATGACCGGCGCTTATGAATGCAGAGCCACTAATATCTGCGGCACTGATAGCTGTAAAGCGAACATAACATTCATGGACACAGAGGCCAGAGGAGAGTCCGCCTCTTTCTTCAAGAAACTGTCAGATTGTGAGGTTAGAGAGGGAAAGACAGCAAAGTTCACGGCTTGTGTGACCGGTTCACCAAAACCAGAGATCAAATGGTAATTATGATCATAACTATTATTATAATTATATGACTAATCATTGTTATTATCGTTAGGTTTAAGAATGGCGTTGAGTTCGACCCCTTGTCGTCGACATCCAAATACAATGTCGAATACTTGAGGAATGGGTTGATTCGGTTCGAGATCTATTCGGTGGAGGCGTCCGATTTAGGCGAATACCGGTGCCATGCGATGAATACTCACGGCTACGACAACTCCATCGCACACCTGAAGTTCGAGTGTAAGCCCTGTTTGATGCCATCATTACTACTTGAGGCCAATCAAAGAGCAATCGCACAGTTAATCCCAGAATTACAACCCTTTCATTATGCGCTGTCAGCCCTCTGTCTGTTTGTGTCACTAATTATGTTTATGAAGGCTTGCGGTCCCCCAGAGTTGCCGTGCGATACATCTCTCGACTCTATTAGCGAATTCATATTCAAATGCATTAGCGAGTCATGCAATCCTACCAGTCCTGCTACTCCTCCTAAATAATCACTATCTAATAATTATACTCATTTTTTGCGGTAACGCCTCTTAATATGAATGAGCGCTAACTTTCTCATTGGTTTTTAAATTACTTTCATTTTATAAATCTAGTCATTTTTGAGTAATGCTTAGCTTCTGGCTACCCATTCCTCCCGACCTATTGTTGTCGCAAATATTGAGACTTTATTTTATTATAATATACTGTATGTTAAGTACATTAGAAGTAAAAGTTAATTCCAATAAAAGACTTAAAAGGTATATAAAAGTAAAGTTTGTTTAGCTTTTATAGTGATTTATAAGTTATAATTAATTCCACAATTGATTGAATGCCTCTATTTTTATATAAATTCTAAAATATTAGCCTATTATGTGATATAATTATGAAAACACTATATTTTAATTAATTATTATCTCAATATTTATCTGAAGTTCAAATTGTCATTAATTATGAGAATTAACTGTAAATATATTCATTTAAAATGAATTTCCATTAAAAGCTTATTTGTATAACATTTATGCCTTTTCATTGATTGAGTAGATTTTGTTTAGATCTAATAATGAGTGAACATTGAATGCAATTAATAACAAATTGTGATAATCGTATCATAACTTCATATATAATTAACATGTGATAGGATTGGTAGCAAAACAAACAAAAAGTGTTAAGTATTTGTTATAAAATTCAAATTGAGTTCAATTGTGATTATATAGCACTTGACAAGCGAAGGCCATCCGCCGACAAATTGAGCGATAAGTTCAAAAAATCTGGAGTACCGGTGCCCTTACCTGACAGGCCCAGAATCGTCAGGATGAGCGACAGTGATGTGACCCTTTCGTGGCTGCCATCCGTTCCCATTCAGCCAAGAATTCCTGTCACTTATATCATTGAATTCTTTAGGATTCCTGACGGAGAATGGATAGCTTATAGGACTGGTATGACTAATGTTTTATACAATTAATCAATGTCTATTACTAATGGCTTCTCAATATGAAAACTATATGACTATAACTAATAGGAATCCAAGACTCGAAGTGCACTGTCGACGGCTTGAGTCCAGGAGTGGACTATAGTTTCCGAACGCGAGTCGAAAACAAGTACGGAATCAGTGATCCATCGCCTGCTGTGACCGCATACAGGAGTAAACTCCGGCCCTCCACTCAACTCACAGATCGTAAACCGAAAGGTTATGATTTGGAGCACCCGGAGCTGGATAAACATGGTGTGACATTTGCAAAACACTTGTTGTACTGTCTATTATTTAATTAATTAAATTCTTATCTATCATTCAGAGTGTGCGCCCAGATTTTTAGGGGAACAGGAGGATACGATATATGCGGTGAAAGGAGAACCATTCACCCTGGAGTTCTGGGTCTACGCACATCCCGACGCTCATATTGTCTGGCAGTTTGAAAACCAAAAGGTTTTATAAATTAAATAAAATCTCATTTGAATTGAAACTCTCATAAAGTTTGTATTCAGATCGAGACGGGATCTGGCGGTCGGTTTGACACTCTGCAGGATAGGGGCGGACAAAACTGTCTGTTCCTCAGCAAAATGAGTGAGAGTGATGTGGGATGGTATACATGTGTGGCCGCTAACCCTCACGGACAAGATCAGCGAAAAGTGAAGGTACTGTTAGCCGAAGCGCCAGTATTTACGAGACGTTTCGAAGAGACGACAGTTTTGTGCCGAAAACACGCCCGCTTCGAGTGCTCTGTTGTGGGAATACCTCAGCCGACGGTGCGTTGGTTTAAGGACTGGCAGCCTCTGCACGAATCCGATCGCATTAAGATCTTATGGGAGTCACCAGAGAGGGCAACGCTTTTCATTAACGGCTCTATTGTGAAAGACTCCGGACTTTACTCATGTTTGGCCTCCAATATCGCGGGTCACGCCTCCATCTCTGCGATGCTTAACATTGAGGGTAAGCCATCAGATGGTTGACTACAAGAGTGTCATATATTTGGTAAATTATTTGAATAGAGTCTGAACTTGAATACGATAAATACACGTTTGGCTACAATAAGATGATCAAGGCTAATAAAAAGCCATTTGAGACATATTATGACTGCGGGGATGAGTTGGGTCGGGGCACTCAAGGCATTGTCTACCACTCCGTCGAGCGCTCGACCGGTAAGAGCTTCGCCTCGAAGATGATGCACGCGAGGGGCGACATGAAGGAGCACATGACGGCTGAGCTCGAGATTATGAACCAATTGGGATATCATCCGAAGATTGTTCGCCTCTGGGATGCATTCGCGTCGACACCTAATTCCCTGACACTCATCACAGACCTGTGCGGTGGCGGAGAACTGCTTAAAGCTATCCTCCAGAAGGGAACCATAACTGAGAGCGAAGTCGCGTATTATGTCCGACAGATTCTCGAAGGACTCGATTACTTGCACTTTAAAAATATCGCTCATTTCGGACTCAATGTTTGTATCTTTTGAGTGATCTTTAAAGATGTAAATGTTTTATGTTTTCACCCAAAGATTGGCGACGTTTTGCTCGAAAGGATCAATGGAAGTGATATCAAGATCTCAGACTTCGGTTTAGCTCAGCGTATAATTCCAGGCATTAAATACATCGTAGAGTTCGGTCATCCGGAGTTTGTGGCTCCAGAAATAGTCGACAAACAATCGGCCAGTTATGAAGCAGACGTGTGGTCGGGTGGGTGTCTATTGTGAACAACCATTTGATTAAAGGATTTGATTATGAATTAATTTATGTGAATTTATATTTCAGTGGGAATTATAACATATATACTGATGACTGGTATATCTCCATTTCTGGGCGACAATGACCGTGCTACTCTACAGCACCTACAGTTAGGCAAAATTGACTTTAATTCATTGACAGAGATATCAGTGGAGGGAAAGGATTTCCTCTGCAAAGTCCTCGAACGCGACCAATACAAGAGACTCGGAGTAAAGCAAGCACTTCAACATCCATGGCTTAGACTGGCTGACCGGCCCGGAACTGGATCTCCATTGAGTTGCATTGAAAACTTGAGACAATATCACAAGCGATATAAGAATTGGGTTCGTTATGACTGCTTATGAATTATCATAAATTTAAATACTGTATTCATTGAACTAAACATAATTTGTACCACAATTGCATTGCATTGTCAACAGTATGTGAACGCCTCGTGTAAAACCCATTACCGACGCCGTCCTCTGCATTCATGTTTCACACATCCGAGTCGTATGATATACCCGCCCGACGAGCAATACACACCCCCTCCCAGTCCAGAGCGAGAGACGGGCCGCTCTAAGTTCAAGCCCTCGCAGTTCGACGAGACGTACAAACAGAAGATCTCAAGAGAGTCAGTGGACGCTCACTCGGAGAGCCAATACCAGAGCGGACCCGACACTTATTTACTGCAATTACGGGACACAGACTTTGCCACTCGAATCCGACAGTATCTCAGAGTCGGGGCCTCCAGGAGTCCCAGTCTTGCGGCCAGTCTTAGAGAGTCTCATTGGGGCGACAGAAATGTTAGTATACTGTAGTTTACACTTCAGTCAAATGTGAATCACTTATAATTTAATGTTATTTGTATTGATGACAAAAACAGGCAGACTATGGCTATAAGCCGTCCGTTTCAGTGCGAGAGCGCAGGAAATTCACAGATATTATGGACGAAGAGATCGGAGAAGAAAAGAGAGGACTCGAGACTCGCTCCAAACCAATGCGTTTGGTGCGAGAAGTGGGCACTTCTGGGTACGCCTACGGACAGCTCCATCACCTTAAGAAGGAGGCCAAAGGAAAAGTTGTCGACGACTTGACGGCAAAGGGAACGATACCTAAGCTTCCGTTCTTCAGAGAAAAACTTAAAGACGTGACCATCAGAGAGAACGAAGACGTTGTGTTCAGTTGTCTGGCTGTGGGAGAGCCCACTCCCAGCTATACCTGGTTTAGAAACGACGGAATCCTCATCGAAAGCAGTCGTATTGAAGTGAAACGCACGGAAGAAGGCAGGTGTGAGCTTAGGATCAAACCCGCCCGCGCTTACGACTTGGGTCTGTACAAGTGTGTGGCCAGGAATGAAGAGGGGGCTGTCGTGTGTCGGGCACGACTCAAGTTAGGCGACACTCCCGGCGCCCCCGACGCTCCAGAAATTAAGAGCGGCTCCAACCGAGAGGTGTATCTGTGTTGGAGTCCTCCTAAACACGACGGAAACAGTCATATACTCTGCTATAGACTTGAGTACAGGAAACCTGACGACCAGAAGTGGACAGTCGTTGCAGACAACATAATGCATGAGTTCTATATTATGAGAGATTTAGAGCCGGAAACGAGTTATGTGTTCAGAATAAGTGCCAGAAATAAGTTCGGATGGAGTGCTGGTAGTCTTCAGAGCGAAATCGCCAAAACACAGGCTACTGATGGCGCTCAACGACTACTTGTCCCCAGAGCTCGCATTTACAGACAAACTGTGACCGAAGACGTCGGACGAGTCATTATAGACAACTCGTCTTCGGTTCCAAACATCGATTACAACAAAGAGTTGAATCCGATTTCACTGACAGAAGCCGAACACGACTCACTCTATGAGTTCGTGTCAGAGATATCTCGAGGAAGGTTTTCACTCATTAGTAACACTCGACTCAAAGAAATGAATAATACGTTAGTGAGTAAAGCAGTTCTGACCCAAAGTGAGACCGAATCCGGAATTAATACCGAATACGAGATCATGAAGACAATGGCCAACGAAAGGATAGTAGAGTTGCATTACGCAAGTCGTGGCTCAGGGGTGTACGCACTGGTCATGGAGAAGCTGTCGGGTATCGATGTCCTCACTTTCCTCTCACAAAGACAACGATACAGCGAAGAGATTGTCTCCAAAATTATTGTTCAAGTCCTCGATGGCATTGAATACCTGCACTTTAGAGGCATCTGTCTTCTGGAGCTACAGCCCGACAACGTCCTGATGGTTGACCAGAGGAGGCATGACATCAAACTCTGTGACTTCGCTAACGCCAGACGGGTGCCGATCGGAGGCACCCGAGTCTCCATTAACGCTGCGCCTGAATATGTCGGTCAGTAGAGGAACAGGCGTCTCATTGGTGGCATTGAATGCAACTATAATTTAATGATTTTTTTGTTTTGTTTCAAAGCACCGGAACTCATTAAACAGGAAGAGGTGACCACATCGGCCGACATTTGGTGTGTTGGAGTGTTGGCGTATATCCTGTTGAGCGGTGTTTCGCCATTCCGTGGATCCAATGACAACGAGACGGCACAGAACGTGGTATTCGTTCGCTATCTCTTCGATCATCTCTACCCCGAAGTAACACAAGAAGCCATTCGTTTCATTCTAACGCTCTTCAAACTCACTCCTCAGTCAGTATTGCTCCTCAAATGGGGTCCTGTTTTGCAAATATAGTATAAGTACTGATGGTTTGATTTTGTGACAAAACTATAGCAAACGGCCGACGATAGAGGAGTGTTGTGACCATAAATGGCTTCTTCCCAATGAATTCACGGTTAAGAAGAGGGAAAACGCTGTCTTCTCGTCTCATAAACTCACAGAATTTGCCGATGAATTTCACTCTCAGAAATCGAGTTCAATGCCCGCACGACTGGCCAACATTGCAGGCATATCACTGGCCAGGTATGATATGCCTTTGAAATGCTGATATGTTTCACTGTAATTTGTGACATACCTGTGCCGACCTCATACAGATCCGTCTCATTACAAAATGATTCATTCGATGAAATTTAAACATTTGATTGACAAAGACCTCAATATTTTGTGATAAAAATATTGGAGAATCTGATGGACGACTGACTCAATGGGCACTCATTTGTATAATTATTGTATTTTAAAATTCTGTTATGAATACAATTGTGAAATAATATAACTTATGATATATAAGCTCATCATTCAGTGAATGATTCAAAAACTAATGTAATCTAAATTTAGAATTTAATTAATAAATAATAAAATAATATTTTTGTTCTTAAAACAAAACTGTCCAAATCTAATACTGTACCATATATTTTCACAAATTACCAAAATTATTAATTCTATTCAATATTTCAATATTTTATTTCATTTATTTATCAATTATAAATCATACAGAATTCGTCAGTAAAATTAAATCATTATTTGGAAATAATTTAAACCGTTTTGAATTATGATTTTATTTCATTTATTATTTGAAACTTTCTTTTTAATACGAATAATATTTGGTTTCTTTATATTATTATTTGTTTGTAGTATTGGGTCATCTATTGGAACAGCTTTTGGTGATGCCTTTGATGAATCACTTTTTTCAAGTAAATTTCTGTCATATGCTTTATCATCGACTCCAAGTTTTATATCATTCACTTTATAGTTAAATAAGTCTTTATAATTAGCCGAACCCTTAACCTTTAGAGCACAAGTAGTTATGGCTTCTCCATGATTATTGACAGCCCTGTCATCAATGAATTAAATTACAATATTTGAGTTAAATTGTTATAATTTGAAAGTTATGTTTTCATTGAGAGTCAATGGTAAGTGTTTTGACATTAAATTTCTATGATTTTTATTAATAAAAAATAATTCTTTCACTACTACTATAATAACTTTATGATATTTATACATAGTAATATTATGATTATTTATGACATGTATGTTGCTATGATATTAGAATTTTATTTTTAATCGAGTTTACATTTAGACTCTAAATGATAAATAATATAAATAATAGAGATTTGGTAAAAAGTGGCGTACATTGACTCTCAACACTTATATAAAGACATGAATTTCAAATCTAATGTCAGATCACCTGCATGTATAAAATCCCGAGTCTTCTATGATCAGATCCATGATCTCCAATGATATCAATCCAAAATCGAATCGTGTGTTTATTCTGGACCCTAAAACAAGGGGCCGACCATTTTTATACCACTCAACGGTCAGTCTTTCGTCATCCGAGGGCTCAACCTGTGCCTCAATAGTCATATAATTGTCTTCTTTTAAGTTGACTTCACTCAACAACTTTTGAGTAAACACTGGTCTCTCGTAACTCTCATCTACCCTTCGATCAACTTTTTGGACATTACTTTCAAGAACTTGAGTTTGCATGAAAGCTTCTGGATGTCGGCACTGGATGTCGATTACAGTCTGACCTTTAATTCAAATAATTTGGTTTATCTTTTATTTTCTAATCCTTATCCAAACCTTTGATTCTCAATGTTGAAGAAGTTATAGCCTCTCCAGACTTGTTAATTGCTTTAACAGTATAAATGCCGGAATCTCTGGGAACTGTATCAGCGATATCCAGACAAATATAGCCGAAGTCATGTGATGTCCTAATTCTTGATCCCATCAACAGTTCCTTTCCATTCAGATACCAAATGAACTCCAAGTCAGGATCGCCTACAGGTTCTGCCTGACACTCAAAGTGTGCGGCTTCTCCTTCCATGAGATCATTAGGTCCTACCAGTGCTGTCGTGAATACAGGTCCTTCAAACCAATGTTCCCGTTCTTCGTCAGGTTTCGTGTATTTAAATCTCTCGAGGGCTTGGATTTGTTGCAGTCCTTCCGGATACTGAGTTTGGAATTGAACGGCGGGTTTGGCTACAAATCAATTTATGTTAGACTATTCAAAATCGACTTATAGTTTGAAAGACTTACCCTTCACTGCCATTGAGGCTGTAGTAACTGCTTCTCCCAACGAATTTGTTGCTCGAATCAAATATACTCCGGAATCCTCGGGTTGGACGACCAGTATATCAAGTGATATATAACCAAAATCAGTGGTTGTTATAAATCTTGAACCTTTCATTATACAAATGTTATCAATTTGTGATGATAAATTTAAATGTCTTAACAAATTAACCCGTTTTTAAAGGAGTTTTATTATGAAACCAAGCGATTATGAGAGTGGGGTCTCCAACGGGAATCAATTGGCACTCGAAGTGAGCGCTATCTCCCTCTAACAGATTATCTATATTCTGTATGTGAGACGTGAATACAGGTCTTTCAAAATGAAGTTTCTCTTCTGTAACTGTATTACTATATTCTGCATCAAAGGCCTGCAATTGAGGCAATGCCTGGGAGTGCATGCTTTGGGTTTGAATAGATTCCTGACCTAAAAATGTTATTATATTTGATGAAATCAATATACAATCCAATGTCTTAAATACCTTCCACTTTGAGATCAATAGAAGTGATCTCTTCTCCAAACATATCGGACGCTCTCACAGAATAATTTCCCGAATCTTCGGGATAAACGTATGCGATGTCTAGAGATATGTATCCAAACTCACAAAATATATGATACCTTGAACCTATTATATAATATATTAATATACTGAATTATGATCCTATTATCATAATATTATTATGATTGATTAACACTTAATAAACTATTGTATTTTATATGAAATGACAGACAACTGACCGGAAATTAAAGGTTTTCCATTGAATAAGAATTCAATTTGAAGGTTCGGGTCATAAGAGGAATCATATGTGCACTCAAAGTGAGCCCTCTCTCCCTCAACCAATCGTGTAGTTCCCGTCAGCGGCGATAAAAACATCATCTCGAGTGACATTTCTATTGTTACAGATGACAGTACTTATTATGAAGTTTGCCAATTAACTCAAACACTTTATATTTAATTTATTATAATTTAATACGTACTGTAATGTACTGTTAATTATACAATTTAGTAAAAATAGGAAAAGAATTTTCAAATTTTAAAATATTAAGTTACTTATAATTTAATTGAAATTAAAATTATCGTCAACTTATATTGAAATCAGTATAGAAAAGTAAATTACAACCAAATTATATGAAAATTTAAAATTAAGTGCCTATTAAATGACTTTAAAGTTGTGAACTGCGACAACAAGTGATCTTCACTTCACTCATATTAATAGACAGATTCGACGCACCATTTGTTAGTTATATATAGCTATTTGTAATCCTCTAAATTTAGGATTTGGTTCAGTGTTAGTGCTGATCAATATTTTTATTACCACTAATTCATATCATTTCTTCAACTTTTTTTTGTTAACTTATTTCATTTTATCTCGCTTATTTTAAAAATTATTAAACTTTTAAAACCTTACATGCAGGCAGAACACACGGTAGTATAGTAAACACTGGACTCATCAGTTTTATAGAATATATCTCTTGTGGACAAGGAATGGGAGCACAAAAACAAAATCTCTCTCTCTCTCTCTCTCTCTCTCTCATTAAGTAAGTGATTAATTGTATGATTAGTTTTCTAAATCTAATGTATGTCTAGATTTATTTTAAATAATTACTTATGAAGTGTAATCCATATTATTAAAACCTAATGATTTTTAGCAATATTATATATTAACAGTAGTTAAATTTTTTATTACTTATTAATATTAAATATACTGATAAATTAAATATAATTGTCCACAAGAGATATATTCTATAAAACTGATGAGTCCAGTGTTTACTATACTACCGTGTGTTCTGCCTGCATGTAAGGTTTTAAAAGTTTAATAATTTTAAAAATAAGCGAGATAAAATGAAATAAATGTCCACAAGAGATATATTCTATAAAACTGATGAGTCCAGTGTTTACTATACTACCGTGTGTTCTGCCTGCATGTAAGGTTTTAAAAGTTTAATAATTTTTAAAATAAGCGAGATAAAATGAAATAAAATGGAAAACATTTATAAAAGTATGGCATTTAATAATTAATATAATTAATAATGTAACAATATTTGTGAAAGGTAAATCGAATCCATCTGGGTCAAAACTAATGAGTGTTCTGTGCTTTCAATCATATTTTATTATATTATCAATTCATTGGTCACAATGTCTTCGGAACTTAGGTTAGCCGCATTTTCTCAACAGTTATCTTTATATCTGTGTTTACTCCTCTTGCACAGAGCTCCCCACAGATTTCTTCATAGCGGGCTTTCTGGTGTTTTGTATTGAAAGGACTTGAATGTATTGGGCGACCTTTCGATGGCAACTAATATCGTGAATATCTATAAACTCATTGAAAGGACGCAACGAACGGAAGAGGACCTGAAAGAGCTGTTCACTGAAAAAGACTTAGAAGTCTACAGAACTGTGACGAACAGAATCCGCAAAACCATTGCAATTGAGTTCGGCATCCCTTCGGCACAGCTCTACATATCTAATCCGACGTAACTTCGCGAGAATGACGGCAAAGAGTCCCCAAATCAGACGACAAGTATTAGCTCAAACACATCGACATAAAGAATCGGTTCCATCGCTTCACTTCTCTTCACTTTTCTCCTCTATTTGTCGACATATGGGAAGGACTTCTCCTTTGGACGCTTTGTATTCGCGGGCGAGATGTTGAACACAACAATTGAGCCTAAGTTGGGACGAGTCGTGGCGTACACCTCGGGCTCAGAGAACGAGCACTTCGTCTCGAGGGTCACTCCTGGCACTCGATATGCGCTGCTTATGGCCCTCACCTCTAACCCTATGTTCGCCGCCAAAGACCCCCAGACTGTTAGACCGCAGACATGCGCCCAACCATTTTGTTTTCTGTATGGAGTAGGCTGTCCAAACTTGAATTTACTCCCACCCCAACAAATATTACTGAATTTAAACTAAAGTGAATATAATATATATTTTAGTTAAAATCAAATAAGTTAATCATTAAAATCCAAATCTTTTTATTTTATTTAATTGAAATATTTTTCCGTTTATTAAATTAATTTATATTATAAAATGAACGTCCAGGAATAGTTAATTCATTTACTTATAAATTACTTAATTTAAATAGATTACTTAATTTAATTAATTACTGTATTAGTATTATAGGTAAACATTATGTTAGTGTTTAACGCATAGGAATTCGGATCTAATGTCCAACGAATTCCGTATTAAAGGGTTCAATACTTGTCTTCAATGAAGTTTACAAAGTATTACATTTAGTAATATTCATCAATAATTGTTTTATATTTGCTAATTTGGTTGTACCTCAAAAGGTCTAAAACCGAAAAGGCCTAGCTTAAATAACTAACTGACCAGTGGACTAACGCTATCGGTGCCCGCATTCTCCTATACAGACCACTGGGCGCTCACAGACCTTCAGTTGGCTACCGGTGCCACGACTCTTACGTCTGGTCTTAATCCCTGTGAGTAGGGGGTCGGTGCACACCATCCACATCCACACCTTTTCTCAGATTTCACAAAATGATTAAACATGCGTTGAATTTATATTCCCTGATCATCTTCGCTCTCAAATTATATTTATCTCTCATATCCTTAACCTTTAGTCCAAATTTGAGAAGAAATTAGATTTTGAAATAAAAATAACATCAAGTGTTTTATATCATTAAAACCTATTTATATATTTTATTATATAACAAAATTTAAAGGAATATAAAAATCAATTAAAATAATCTAATCAGTGGTTAGACATGAAAACCAATTGTCTTTTATATAAAAAAAACTTATATATTCTTATGTTAAGCATTGGTTGTGATTATCAAACATATGATTATTTAGCCGTAAAAGCAAACTCTCGATTGAATACAGTATTTAATTGGGAATACAATATAATGTGTGAAACAAATTTCCCAAATCAAGTCAATGTAATGCTCTAAGAAATGGTTTGAACACTACTAGAGATCACTCAAAATAGTTCAGAGAACTCCAAATCGCGAGAAAACTAGTTTTGGCTTAACTTTCATAAAAAACATATAATAGTTGTAATCGTTTTGTGTGAACGAAGAAAGTTGTGATTCACTACAAGTCAAACTCATTTCACTTATTGTTCAAAAAAACATTTTTGCCTTTTTTGACCATAGTTTGCATCAAATCTGTAACTTTGAATTAATTGCGATTTTGAAAAATTGTGTTTAATTTGTCAAATAAACTTTTATCACAGGTGTTTCTAATTTATTACTGTCTTATGAATAATACAATAATAGAAATCAATAAAACAATTAGAAAATGATTTTGTATGAACTTGTGAACTCGGTTTTACTTTTATATTCACAAGTTGTGTTGAATTGAAGACTCAAACCATAATTATAATATACAGAGGAGATAGTCATGTATTGTTTGCACACAAATATTTAAATCAATTTGAAATACTAAATAATTTTGTTGTTTGTTTAGCATAAAAAACAAGACTCAAAATTCTTGTGACTGAATAAACATAAGCCATACAAACATTCTTGAGATTTATTCGTTAATCTTTTCACTGTAGACATGAAATTCATGAATACACTAAATATTCAAATTATTCTTAGTTTATAGAAATATTAGATAATAATCTAAATTATTCTTGTTTTGACTATTTAAATAAAATACACACTAATAATATGTTTAAATAATTTTTTCATGCATTTGTGTTTTAAGCATTCAATTTACTATTTGTCTTAACATTCAAGGAGTAAATTATTGAACGAGAATTGCTTGACTCTAAACACCACTAAAATTCACTTTTTAGTCGTAAAACTCGATGAGAGGTTCGGTCATCGAGTTGTGTAAGGCTTGACATTAAAAAAGTAAAATCCATTTCTATTTGCCTGAAGAGTTTGTGAGATAGCGAGTGGAGTAGTCTATCCCCTGAGCGCCTGTATTCGACCCTTCCTCGCGAGCAGTTGTAGCGCCAATTCGTTGCAGTAGTTTCTGTGGCTTTCCTTTCCTTCCCATCAATTGTTGTTTGAATTCTTAAGCGAACCAATACTTGAGTCAACTTTTTTCATACTATCTCTGTTTGACTATAGTTTGCAGAGTTAAGAGCACTCTTACACTCTTACATGTGTTTTCATATCATATTTTTACACTTCATTTGATTTGCGAGTTTTGTTTAAACATTTAATTGCATTTTGTTTTACCGAGAAATTAGTTGTTCTCTCAGTGCCAGCGAATCACACAAATGAAAATCAAGTGAAAGTCTGACTGAAGGCAAGTTTTGAAGACATTTTATATTTATTATGCATTTATCTCACAGATATTTAAATCACTTTTTACCTCAATTTTAAAGTGTTCCTAACTTTGTAAGTGTTTTCTCATTTTTCATATCAATTTTAGATTTTCATTTAAGTCTTTATTTTTTGTTGCTTTTGTTGAGAAGCCAAACAACTTTTAGATTAAAAACTTTTTCTCATTAAATATAATAGTAAATATCATACAATATTAATCTATGCTTTGATTTCTTCTTTGCCTCATTGCTATGTAATCTATAATATACTATATTTATATATTCTTTAGTTATAAGTTATAACATATTTAAAACTTCATATTTAGTTTATACTTTTAATCTCACAATAATTAATTGAAATTTTTGTTTTACAAATTTCATGTTTTTAGATTTAATATATTTTTTCTAAATAAGTATTTCTTTTATTTTGTTTTTGCAGAAAATGTAATTAAATTAAAAGAGAAGTGTAAAATAAATGAATCAATAAATTTACACTTTGGTTTTTATTTAGAAATAAATTCTTATTAAAAGGTTCTTTAAGTTATTCTTATTAAATTGAATTCTTATTATCTTATTAATATAAATATATTACCACTCATTCAATAATATAAATATGAACATATTTTTAATGAAGTGATATTTTATGTTTTAAAAGCAAATAATTTATTCATCAAATGTAATTATTGTTAATGTTTTGCCTCTCAAACATACTAATGTCTAAAGTATTGAATTCAATGGATGAAATGTGGCATTGCGTAAATACGGTATTAAAGCCATAGTTAAGGTGCGGTCATTGAGAGCCGAGTTATTTGAAAAAGTCTCCAAACAATAGATACAAACAGTGAGAGATATACGAACCGCAGACCTAATCGTTTTCAAACAACAATCTCTGCCCCGACTTATAGATTGTTATAAAACTCTCTCGGAATTCAAATCTGCAAATAATGCTAATAATATAGTTCAAGGCCTAGCAGTTTGAATAACTATCGGAACACCTGTATGTTTTAGTGAGGGGTCTCTCACTCGTAACTCTCACTCTTACTACAAAAATGTTTGTCAGTAATAATTAGTGGACATTAAAGTTATTTCAATTAATAACGGCGTCTCTACAGTGTAGTGGAAACCCTTGGCATACAGCATCTTATATAATGTTGGATATACCGGTATATATTATGTGATCGCTTATATATCTTATACACAACACTTATAACAATAATAGTCATTAACTCTTTCTGTTTTTACGGCAACATTGTGTTTATACAAATGGTTGCAAATTATAATATGCAGTCTTTCTCTGAATCATTGCCTTTAAAGTAGAATCGATAAGTAAAGCCGACCCACAATTAAAGCTGAGAGAAATCCCTCTCGACTTTCAAAAACTATATTATCGGCTCAAACATAGCATTCGCTTATCTCTGGCGCTGCCATTCAGTAATGATATAATGTATTCTTCGGAGGTTAATATCCGCATAAATTTATGCCACAAGTCGTTACTTTGTTATATCACTTTCAATCCATTCCATACATAAATGAATGTTTTCATATCATTAGCGAGTGAGAGAGAGAGAGAGAGAGAGAGAGAGAGAGAGAGAATGGAAAATAGCAAAACGACTCTTATTTTGTATTATTGTGTGAAAATCCATTTGTCTCTCAAATATTTTCTAATGAATTCAGATTTACTTATTTGATAAGAACATTGATTTATGTGTTTATTGTGTTTAATAGATAATATAATATATCTATTTCTATCAATCTCATGAATAAACGACACGAATTGATAATATTGTGTTTGTATACTGAATACTGTATTCATATATCTCTATATTTTATATTATTTTATTTTGTGTTTTATGCATAACTAGTATAACACTTAAAGATATACAGTAAATGCTAATACAAAATAAACACAGAATATATTTAATTAAAATAAGTTTTCAACTCTTTTACAGTAAAATTGCTGAATTAATTATATTATTGAGAAAATAACTTTCAACATCCTTTGAATCAACCCTTAAAATCTTTGTCAAAGAATTTAATAACATTATAAAATTTATTTAAAATAACAACTGAATTTACGACTGAAATTTTAGTATTTAAAATATAATAATAATAATAATAATGTACAAAAAGATAATTAATTTTTTGTTAAATTAAAATTAATCTCAATATCAAGATAAGTAGTCGCCTCACGCGATGCTGAGCATGCAACATTTTTGCATAACATTGATTGGCATTCAATTTTATGTATTCATAATTACTAATTGATAATATTTTTTAAAATGTCGCAACAGTCTGGCGCAATACTTTTAGATAAATATTTTATTTCAGAAACATTTTTAAAATTAGCTTCAAGTGTGAGATAATTTTGATTTCATTTTATTTTAAAAATAAGTCAAAACTTTTTGATTTATATTTTTCTGAATATTCCAATCGTGTATAAATTAAAATAAATTATTTGGGCATTTAATTAATTGATATTTCTTTAATAATTTTATTATAATATATTTAGATGATAACATAAAGGTTTAAAAACAAATTATGAGAAAATAATCAGATTGTCATATATTTAAAATTGCAATTAGTAATCAATATTTCAATTAATTAAAGTCCGATTAGAATATCTTTGGTTAAAAACTTATTGAAATCTTTTTGAAATCTTTTAAATTTTCCTCTAAACGACTAAATAGCTAGAATTGACGCTAATTTTATGTGTTGTTATCTTATAAATAAGTGAATTCTTGTATTAAATGTTTCCAATCATTGAATTGCATTATTTCATTGCTCTTAAAGACTTAAATTATTTTTAAGTTAATTTTATTTTTTATAAATGGAAATTCCTTTTCTCTTGATTTATTGTTCAAAAAATTATTTAAGAAATAATTACTATTAATTATTACTCTTTTTCAATTATTATTTCAATTGTTATTTAAATTGAAACAAAATTGATTTATAATGGTTGTGCCAACTTGTAGTTAAATTAAGCAAGAGTTTAATATTTGCATAAATCAGACATTTTTCATCGATAATTGCGAATCTAAATACGTGTAAATATAATTTGAATATATTTTATACTAGAGTTTACTTTTCTCATCACTAAATTATATTTATGCTACCATTTGACTATAAACTAACTTGCATGTAATCATTTGTGTTTGCTTTCAGCTATATTTTCGCAATTTCTAAGCAAAAAAGTAAATATGTTTTTATTTGTGTATTAATTATATGAAAAGTGATTTAAAAATGAATGCAATCAACGAACTGTTGTTATGAAACAGATTTTGTGACAAAAGAGAGAGAAAACAACGCATAGAAGAAGAAGAGATACTTTTTTTGTAAAGAAGTATTAATAGTATTAAAAGTGAATATACAGTGGTTTCTAGTGTTATGTTAGTCTTCCTGATCTCTGATCTCTTTGTTCGCAAACCAATAGTTGGTGTGACTTAAGGCTATAATTTGAGCAAAATTTTAAACTGGATTCACGACTGCCTTTTAGTGCCGTCATCTCTCTCTCTCTCTCTCTCTCTTCGTTGTAGAAAACATAACATTCCGTTACATTGAATTCATGCAAAAATAAATAGTAATATTTGAAAAGTGAGACAAAGACAACTACACACTACAGTATATAATCAAAACTTCCTGCAAGAAAGACATAGAAGACATGGCTATGCAATGCTCTGATGACCATCACTGCCATCAATGCAATGCTATTCTTGTAATCATAATTACGATCACTATTTATACGACGAATATTTTTTTCTCTCTTAACTCTCTTAATTTGTCTGCAAAACAAAAAACATTTGTCTTGTGGTTGTCTAGTCTGTCATATTTTTTGAATTTTTAAATTATCTCTCTGGAGATGACATTTATATTACTGTCCAATCCATGGAATAATTGAATTTTGTTAATTGTTTGAGAGTTTATCAAAGAGTTGAAAATTTTAAGCTGAAAAAAGTGAGATAAGAAGAATTTTTGGATATAATTTAGATTATTTTTTAATTTCATAGTTTTTTCGAGACTAAAGGCCCAAAATTGCAAAAACTATAATAAATAATGCCATTGGAGTAGAAGGCAAATGACCACAAGTTTCACACTCACAGGGAAGTTATTTTAGCTAATATTATACCTGAGGTATGCTTTCCAAATTAGATTCCTTACCACTCATTGCACTTACAGTATTTTATACAATCTCCGGGTTTAATGTGATTTTTTGTTGATTATTTTATATGTTAACTACAAATATTAAATATAATTCTCCAATCTTGTGTCTCATTATATTTTAATTAACCGACAAAACAGACATGTTTGCTAAATTCAAAGTCATTTGAGGACTTTAAGTGAATCTTAACTAATGTCATAAACGGTTGTTGTAATGAAAAGACTAAATACTAAAACAATTGCAAATTTAATTTCGTTGAATGTGTACAAACTTCTTAAGCTATAATCTTATTGTTCGGCTTTTGTTTGTACAATAAATACATTAAAGCATTCATATAATAATCTATTCATTTGTGAATATAATTTATAAATTATATATTATTTGCTTTTAAAATATATTATAATCGCTTATGACATAGTATAGCCCTAATTGTTATGGAAAAAATTATATCACAAAAGCTATTGTAATTATATAATAATGAAAGTGTAGTATGTTTTTTGGATAATAATTTTATGAATCATTTGATGAATGTTTGCTCAAATGAGAACTTTATTATATATTTTGTGCCCTTAATATCAAATACTTTTGCCTTACAGGCGATGCTTTGAATGTTAAATACGAAAATCATGCAAAACAAGCGAATTATAATTTATTACATGTGTGTGCTGTGGGTTACACACTTGCACCGGTATGTTTGTGGCCAGTGTCCCTGGTCCAGATCGGCCGACCTCCTGGATCTGCATTCAGACTGCATCTGTGGCTACAATAACGTACAGAGACTGACAATACAGTGCAGTCCCGTTAACTTCACTCAACTCATGACAGCCATCCACCTGTCGGTCCAGAAGATGCCCATTGATATGCTGTACATCAATAACTCGACACTAACCACAATACCCGGGGGTGTATTCAAGAACTTGGATGTCCTAAATCTGCACATATCTAACAGCAAACTGGAAACCATATCTTTGGACGCCTTTAATGGATTAGAGGATAAATTAATGACTCTAAGCATACAAAACACTCAAATCAAACAATTACCTCATTTGCAAATCCAAAAACTTCGTGCCCTTAAAAGCCTTGATTTGTCTAATAATAAATTGGTTTCAATTGAGAGCAATGCGTTTGCAAACATGCAATTGACTACAATTAAACTGTCCGACAATAATATCACACTCAGTGACCACGCCTTTCACGGCTTGGAATCCACGCTCAAGAATCTCAACCTAAAGGCAACGAATCTGCAATCAATACCGACAGCGATCGGCAACTTATCGTCACTGGCTTTCCTAGACTTGGCTCAGAATAAAATCAAAGACATTGCGCCCGATTTGCTGCTTAATTTGCATTCACTGACGGCCATCAATCTCGAGAGAAACCAAATCGAGAGACTACACCATCGAGTCTTTGCCGGAGTTAATGATTCGTTGAGTTCGTTGTCGTTATTAAATAATTTATTGGTTCACTTCCCTTCTGATGCCATTTCACAGCTAACAGGACTCAGAGTAAGTCTATATAAGTCTGTCAAAGTATACCTACCTATGACAATTCTTTAAGGTATGAGAGAGAGAGAGAGAGATGTTGGAACTGATGAATGGGTGAACATTAGAATAAAATATCAGATCTAATTGGATAATGTTTTCTACGCTAACATTAAAGTCCGTCAAATTTGTTCGCTTTACTCATTCTTATGGATAAATGATTTCGTTTTGATTTCATATCAACAGGTATTGGATTTAGGCTTCAATGCTATACAAGAGATACCTTTTGAAGCGTTTCGTGACAATACGTTATTAACATTATTAGCTTTGGACGGCAATCCATTACATACCATTCCCTTCGAAGCCTTTCAACACTTGAACAGTACTTTGAGAGGTCTCAGCATTGGTGGTAAGTCTATGCAATGCATACATATGCCATACATTCACTTCTCAAACTGTATATATCTAACCGTACACTGAGTCTACAGTACATTATATAATTTCCTATAAATATATTGCTTAAGAATACGAAACATTAATCAAAACAAATGTCATAATCTTTTGTAAATAGAAATGTAAATAGAAATTCATTTATTATAAAATATAAAACGAATCAATTCTGGGCTTAAATTATATGATAAGTACATTGTATGGCATGGCATATAGACTCATAGCCGGGATATTTAGGAGCACTAACGCAATCATTTGGAAAAATATGAAAATCTTGAAAAATTGTTTCTATATTCAAATAAATCATTTCTGATTTGTTTTTCTTACGAATGGAGATTCCAGTGAATAGGAAATGAATTAATAATAAAAAGAGTAAAACAGTTATCCGTCCGTTAGGATGGAGTTAACGGATTACATGAACTTTCGTAAGGGTTATAGACCAGACAAAAGGCGACTCCAATTATTATTAACATAATTAGCTGAATATACACCGTATGTGATGAACAAAATACCATTTTCTCTCATCATTTTATTTATTTTTCTAATTAATTAACTTTTCTGTTTAAAGGTATTTATTATACAATTGTCTCTTAATTTAATATCGTTTGCAGCGATAGGGATGGAGAGGGAAAAAATTTAATGAATTTTTCTTTTGTATTATTTTCTTTGATAATAATAAATGAAATGCAAGTATTCGTGACAAGTTTTTTTGCAGATCTGAAAGCTGAGGTTAAAAGAGATTAATGACTATTTGATAATAATCTGAACGCAAACTTTTACTAAACAGTTATTAAAACATAAGAGAAAATCGGGTTTGATTTGTTTTATAATGAATAGTAATATAAAATAAATAAATGATTAAAAATTACAGAAGTGCTGCACAAATACTATGAATGAATTGCTACGCTTTGAAAACTTTAAAAATGCATTACATATTGAGATAAATGCTTTTCAATTGATATTTTTCAAATAAATTTTTCACACAATTTAGGCAAACATCTTGAATGTGACTGTAGATTACGATGGATTATTCAGTGGATTAGTGAGCATAACCTACAGGTGACGAGTCGTGAGAGAAACCCACAGTTTTGCGGAAAACCGGATAACTTGAGACGAAAAAGTTTTCTCAGTATTAATGAATCGGAAATGATTTGCGAGGAATCGATGCAAACATCACATCAGATGAGAGCCACTGAACAGATAGCGTCGAGCAGTTCAACAACAATAGGTCCGCAAACCACGGCTGACAGCCATCCGGAAGACTCATCACCGGTGCTGTCGGCCTCTTCTCTCCTCAAAGTTCATTCAACGCATTCTAATGACACCACCAATGGATCCGTATATGAAGTGATGGATTCGACACCAATGATGACAACAACATTGACGCCCACTTCCAAGGGCTCAGAAATTGTGAAAAAATCTCCGTTAAGTCGTGCGATGTTTGGCAGCGATAGCATCAAAATCATTGACGCCTTCTTCCACAACAACTCAATTAGTATTGAATGGGAACCGATTAAGTCAAATAACGCCGGATATCAAGTGGTCTATCGCTTCTTCGGAAGTCGAGACTTCAAGAAAGGGCCGCTAATGACCACAAGTCAGAGACGGTATAAGACACCCACCATTCCGTCCAACGAATGTGTTGTCATTTGTGTAATCAGTTTAGAGGACCACTCATACAATAAACTCAATAACATTCCTCTCAATCAATGCCGTGAACTGCGAAGGGATGGCAATCGGATCAGCGATTTGGACAAAATAGTGATCGCAGTGTCGGCCGCCGTCTGTGTGTTCGTTATATTCGCGGTCTTCATATTCAGCTGTTGTTACCATAAGAGCAACAAATCCACTAAAACTACCACTCCTTTGACCAAATCAGACCACGAATGGGAAACAGTTTCTGTCTACAGCACCCGTAGTATCCCCAGAGCGCGTATGTATCACATGGACACTACTGTCAACAACTCTCAGCATAACTTAGTCTTAGACGACACTCGATCCCACATTTCCAACTGCTATCAGACTACTAACCCTTATATGAAGCACCGGTCCATAGCGGACGGTCAGTCTAATAGATCGTATTCTATGGCCCGTAACTCGCACTCCATTGGCGACAATCCAGAGCTTACGAAATCGCACCAAAGTCTGTCGGCGCTGTCCCGACACCAACCATATAATCATAATAACAATAACAATAATAGTCATAAAAAGCACCGCAAGAAAGGTCATCACAACCGCCTCATCTCCACCAACTCATTGCACTCATTGACTGAATACGAGTCCGATTGGAACTACGGGTCGCACCCGAGGATAGCCAACAACTGGAAGGATAATGCGCTCGACATATATGTCGACCAAAACTATGTCATCTCAACCAACGGTCGCAATAAATATCTTAAATGAATCCATCGTCTCATCCATTAATTTATAGCGAACTTTAATTTTGTGCCAAAAATAATATGAGAAATAGACTTATATTCAATTGTAATATTTTATAATACAGTACTACAGTAGTAATTGTCTGAAAATGCATTTGAAATGCTATTAATTTTTAAATGAAAAAATTAAAGCACAATATATTATGGTTTCGGTGAATATCTTATCTACTAATATAAACTTATAAATAATATATAGCTTTCAAATAAACTTTTGCTTTTTTAGGTATTTTTAATATTTATAAATATAATAAATTTTATACTTTTATATATGAATTTTCAATGATATGAATGAATAAATCAAAAACTCGTTAAACTTCTTCATAAAAGTTATTATTTTTATCTGAGATTTCATGTTGTGATGCATACGATTGACATCAACCCTTATACACACCATTCAAAAAGTCATGAATTTCTTCACTACTAAAGGATATGACATCTAAAGTATTTGATTCATTATTTTATGCATTTTATTATTATTAATAATATGGAAAATTGAAAATTATATTTTGGAAAAACAATATTCTCTGTATAGTCTCACTCTTAGCATCATTTATAAAACACTTTTTCTTTTGAGAGAGAAATTCTAACAAATGTTTAAATTTTCACAAACCTATCAATCATTGAAATTAAAAGTTGAAGCGATTTCTTGTTTTTCTCCTTTCGATGTGTCGGTTCCCTAACCGTATGATACGTCCACTTATAATATTAATATACACTTCAATTTAATTGCAGACCATTGAAGGCGTGCCAAACATTTGCAACAATTCTGTTAATCATTTTCAGCATTTATTTGGCAATAAATTCAGAAAAATAATTAAAAATAAAAAAGATTTTTGAATTAAAATATGAAAAATGAATGATTTTTTGTTATTCATTAAATAATTTGCTTATATTTATAGTTAACATTACTTTTAACCGAAAACACTGTGAGGAATGTATCGACACATTAGCCCCTCAAACATTCAATCGATTTATATTAATCCATTTTAAATTACACATAAAACCGTAATTTTAAAAATTATTAACTAATATATAATTTTTTTTATTACATGAAGGTTAGTGTATTAAATATTATTTTGATAACAATGTAAATACTCGGAATATTAAAAAGGTTAAAAACGTGAAATATTTATAATTAAATATTTCACTTTAGGCGAAATATTTAAATTTTTGGTGACATTTATTTTATTCCTAAAATTGTAGTTGAATTTCAAAACATTTGTTTTTTAATACAAGAATTTTTATTAAAATAATTTTAGCTTCAATTTAATAACCTCGTTTATAATTTCATCAGAATCTTTAAAATAATTATTTTATAGTAAATTTAAAAGTCAAACAATTTTTATATCGGTTTAACATACAACTTATATTAGAATGTGTCAGTTAACTGAATGTAATGCATTTCTACTGTTTTATAACATACTTTTACATTCTTTTGACTGTATTTCCAAAAAAGCCAATAAATTGTGAAAACCTTTTTATTGCATTCATTATAAGAATTGAATTTTAAGTAAAACCTTTGGATTCAATTGTAGTCATAAAAGCTGATCCCAAGAAGTATTTATAAGCTGTGAATGCAAATGAGATTCACTCACAAGATTCGCACCGCTTTGAGTGTCACTTTGGGGTCACATTCATGTGATGTGCTCTGCATTTGTCTCACAAATGCTTATTCCAACACTTCTTCTCATTTGACTATTTCACCCATAGTACAGATATACCCAAGAAATCAAAGTCACCAAAACCTAAACCATAAGACCATTCATTTAAGTCTATTATACAGTATTATACTTTNGCAAATGAGATTCACTCACAAGATTCGCACCGCTTTGAGTGTCACTTTGGGGTCACATTCATGTGATGTGCTCTGCATTTGTCTCACAAATGCTTATTCCAACACTTCTTCTCATTTGACTATTTCAGTCATATATGAGACCCAATCCAACCCATAGTACAGATATACCCAAGAAATCAAAGTCACCAAAACCTAAACCATAAGACCATTCATTTAAGTCTATTATACAGTATTATACTTTCATTTTATACAATTACAAAGTACTCTTTATTCCCATGTTACATTGTTTGCCAGTTTAGTTTAGAATTCTTTTGAATTACATATATAGTAATTTACCAGGGACATTATATCAAAATACTTTAATTTTTATTAATATACTTTTATCAGTTTTGTTAACTCATAAATTTATGTTATAAATCGGATAAAAATTATGCATTTAATGTTTTATTAGAAACTATATATATTTAACAGATATTTATCATAATAGATACTGTATCTAGTCTCTCTCTCTCTCTCCTCATTTAAGGTAACTTTATATGTGAATGGATATAATGATGACTCAATTGCGTCATTTGTTTCTATGAGTGCAATATTTAGTGGACAACACGACTCCCGGACCGAAACCCAAACTAAACCCAAAACTGAAACCCAATGACTCTCATTGACTCAAACTATTTGAAACTAATAATAAAATAGTATTTATTAAATGACTACTAATCTAACAAATACTTAACAACAAAATATTGGAATAAGTATTAAATTTATGTAAATATTTGGTAAATGCTTAGTAAGGTTTGGGTCGGGCTATGGGTTGGATGTGAAGTGAAGTAGACATCTATTATATTAAATTAGTTTCATTTCATTTAAAGCTCTAATAATCACTGCTTTTCTAATTGTTTTGTGTTTTTTGTGTTTTGTTTGCATTTAATTGTCTTTTATTTGCGATTATTTCTACAAAAATGTATGAAATGTATGCGAAAAATGTGTTTCTCTTGAGTAGTGTTTGACTCAAATGTTTAGTATTTAGTGATAAATGTATTGATTTTGTTGTCATTTATATGAATAGCATATAAATCGACAATCAATTCATTGTAAACCAAATTTGCACTCATTTTGAGTGATATTTCTGTATTTATTTTTATTTAACTATTATTTTGTGACAAAAGATGTCAAACAATGAAATGTCAGATCAAATGACCACTTCTTCCACTTCATCGTTAGGTATGATATGATATATATATTCTGTATGTGACGACTGACCAGTTGTGTTGTTGTTCCCCATTGATAGGCTACACGTCATTATCATCGGCCGAAAGCCAACCACTGAGTGACAGTGTGTCGGAAGCGGCCATATATTCAATATGTGGTGTCTGTGCGATGGCTTTCCACCACCTCTTCCCACACACCTGCGATCGGTTGGTCTCATTGTCTCGCAATGGTTCACACAATCGGTGTCTAAACTAATGAGTGTTTTGTTTGTTTTCAGAGCTTTTTGTGAGACAACGATGACTGAAATGATCCGACACTTGAATCTTCCCACTCAAGTGTCTAACGCCATGAGGGCTCTGATGGAGGGCGAGGGCGGAGATGTGGACGCATTCATTGCTCTCATACGAGAGGAACCGACGCTTAAGTCTTCCTGTGTCCGGATTGTCGAGGAATTGGTTTTGTTTGCCGTCAAAGAAGGTATGATATGATCAGTGATTGTGTTGTCCATGAAATACATGTTTCGGTAATTGTTTTATTGATCTAATGCTTACACTTAAAAGGATGGATCAAAAGAGGTATAGATTTGTCTGAAAAATACTTTAACATTAACTTTGTCTCAATTAAAGCAATAGTAAGAACCAAATGATTAAAATATGTTTCAAACGACAGGTGTTTATGACGCCCGACTCCGTGTCCTCATTCTTCACATCTCCGGCCTATTAGGAGTTCCGGTGCCTATCGTTGAACTCTACGAGGAATCGGTGATTGAAATGCTTTCTGAATATATTCCGCAACAAAACGACGAGGAAATCAAAATCAAACAAAAACGCGAACGAAATAAAAAGATTAAGCGATACGTTATGATAGGGTTGGCCAGTGTTGGTGGCGGTGCTATCATTGGTGAGATTCATTGATAATCTATTTATGGTCGCAATTGAGACATTGATTTCTTGTTTTAGGACTGACTGGTGGTTTGGCGGCACCGTTTGTAGCGGCCGGCGCCGGTGCCATCATAGGTGAACACAATTACAATTAAAATTAAGTTTCAATTGAATGACATTTTTGAGGGTATCATAGGTACGGCTGGCGCTGCAGTTCTGGGCTCATCGGCTGGAATAGCAGTAATCGGTTCCCTGTTTGGCGTCGCCGGCGCCGGACTCACGGGCTATAAAATGAAGAAAAGAGTGGGAGATATAGAAGAGTTCGCTTTCGACACATTAACTCACGGCCGGGAACTACATCTCACAATCGCTATCTCCGGATGGGTGTCACAAGAAGGCGCACAAGCATTCAAAGACCCCTGGCTTTCACTATTGAATTCTCGGGAACAGTATTGCATTCGCTATGAGTCGGCGTATCTGTTAGAGTTAGGCCGAGCCATGGAATACTTCCTGGGCTTTGCCATCAGTATGGCTGCACAGGAAGCCCTCAAATACACGATCCTCAGTGGGCTTATAGCTGCTATCGCATGGCCCGCAACACTGGTCACAATGGCCAGCGCTATAGACAATCCATGGGGTGTTTGCATCAGGAGGTCAGCAGAAGTGGGCAAACATTTGGCAGAGATTCTCATAGCTAGACAACAGGGCAGACGTCCCGTCACTCTAATTGGATTCAGTTTAGGCGCTCGTGTCGTGTATTTCTGTCTACAAGAGATGGCTCAACGCAAGGGATGCGAAGGTATCATAGAAGATGTGATCCTATTGGGAGCACCCGTTCCCGCGTCTGTCGACCAGTGGAAGGCATTCGGACGTGTAGTGAGCGGACGAATAATGAACGGCTACTGCAGAGGCGATTGGCTCTTGAAGTTCTTATACCGAACCTCTTCGGCAACTCTAAGGATAGCAGGTCTTCAAGCCATTGATTGGGACGACAGGAAAATGATTAATACAGACCTCAGCCATATTGTAAGCACTCGCTTGTCAGACACATACCATAAATCGTAAATACATTGTCACTATTTTCAACAAATATATGTTTGACCCCCCATTAGGTGACGGGTCATATGGATTACGCGCGCAAAATGAAACAAGTCTTGGAGGCCATTGGGATCCGAACGGTGGAAGAGCCGAATGCCACGACATGTGAACTCCATATGCGAAGAACTCATTCAGATATGACACAAATCAATCACAAACTCTACGCCCAGATGTCCACTTCGAAGTCCGACTCCAATATCAGGCGTCGATATTCCGAGCCCTTAGTGTCCGCCGATTTGAATCCATTCTCTACTCATTCGTCGAACTTTTCGCGAAGATCTTCATCACTGGAGAGTATTTTAAGCAAAATTAGTCGCTTCTCAGGGGTGACGTCAACACCTCCGCCGATGTCAACGATGTCAAGCCCTGACTCCATGAAGTACTCTATTCACAGGAAATCAACTGATTTTCTAAATGTTCCGCAATAATGGTTGTGAATGTTGTGATCATTAGATATGATTTAAATCATATCTAACATTAAATTTATTATTAATTCTAATCGAAAGCCAATTTTAAAATCAATTTCATTAGACACACGACCAGTAGAACAGTTAGAGATATCACTGTTAGAGACATTAGTTTTTCGAGACCAATACCTAAGAAACCTCTAGTTATTCATCAAAGTATTGACAGAAAGGTTGTTACAAATGACACTTTGTTTACAATAGCTTTACAATAGTTGTGATATAAATCATCACTTATTTATTACAAACTATGATTACGTGAGAAATCAGAAAAACAAAAAGACTATCCAATGGTTTGCCTTTTTATTGTATTTCATTTCTAATCAGTATTTAAATACAGTTAACGCATTTGTTATGATATTCTCAATAGTGTTACTAATCAACTGATTTGAGTTACAATTAATGCAAAATGAAGTATTATTTTTGTGAACTTCACAACGAATTCAATAGAAATGATATACAATACCGTAGACTAGTTTAATCCCACATTCAGTATACTGAACAGACGGTGCCTTAAATGAAAGCCCAATATTCAGATGAAAGGCTATGAGTTGATACGAACAAGAGTACCGGGTTTGTCCCATAACCTAAATCCCAGTCCTCAACTGCAAAATATACTCAGCCTTTCATTTACATATCGTATCGGAATTCGGTTCGTCTGTTCATTATATTCATGTCTCAAGTGTTAAACCAATAGTCAGTCCATTCTGTCCCCCAATTATCATACATTGTCATCATTGGTATGCATTGTCTGGACTCTGAGATGAGTTCATAGTTTTGTTTTTAAATTACAAAACAAAAAAGTCTTCGAAAGTGACCCCGAATTTGAGTTTTTATTCAATAATATTTGTTGAATTATGTTAGACTCGTAATGCAAACCATTATAAATCGTGTCCTTTTCATTACTTAAAATACAAATCTATTTCCGTTTTTGTTTTGTCATTATATTAGATTTTATTTAAAGTTAATTATTATTTTTTTAATATCTATATATTATATCGTATAATTTAAATAATTATTTTAATTTATTTTTAATATTGTGATAACGATTTAACTAATATTTTGTGTACAGAACTGTTAAGCAAATTGTTTGTTGTTATGTAACTTATTAGAGATTTAATTATATTATAAAGATTATGTTGATTAGAAACAAATGAAACTAAATATTAATAGACTATACAATGTATACATTATTAAATGATTATAATTTATAAATTGAAATAAAATTGAAAAGTAAAGTGAAGTGAAGTTTGAGTGTTTGTCGTAACGTTATGTGTGTATGCATTGCATCAGAGGTGTGGAGTCCAGTGTAGAGCACATGTGTTTGGGTCACAAATTGCAAGCTAATCACCATTCAATTGATTCAATCAATACATGTATTATCATCTCATTTAACCATTGTTTGAAACATTCACATGAAGTTTGGTAACCACCAGAAGATTGCACTTTCTTGGTATGTATTGTTTGAAACGATTGATTGCTGTGTGATTGTAGTGAAGATATGATGCAATTATAGGTTAATATTTGCAACCCTGGGTATTTCGGGCTTCTTTGTGGCCAAGGAGTATGTCTATAATAACCGTTTGGATGCCATGAAAGTGAGGACTAGTATCAGACAACGACTACAAGAAGAAAGCAAATCCAGTGATCAGTAGAGACACCACTCGTGTTGTTGTTGTTGTTGTCAACATTGGACTCAATTTGGTGACAGACTGTGAAGTGATTGCAAAACTAACTGTTTGTTTGCAGTGATAGTGATATCTGTTGTAAAAGAAACCCTTAAAGTGGTGAACGATGGCAACCCCTGGCCCTCAGCTCACGTTAGACGCGTCCAAAATGCAATTAGTGGCCGATCTGGAGATCGAGATGATGTCCGATATGTACAACCGGATGACCCGCGCCTGTCATAAGAAGTGCATTCCTCCGAAGTATAGGGACTCTGAGCTGAACAAAGGCGAGTCCGTGTGCATCGACAGGTGTGTCGCCAAGTATTTGGACGTTCACGAGAAGATCGGCAAAAAGTTGACCACTCTTTCCATGCAAGACGAAGACATGATGAAGAAGTTGCAGCAACAACAGGATGTGCTCTCACAGACTCCCAACCAGTCACCCAATTGACACTTACTGTCCGACCATTTCATATTCAATTCAATTTATAGATACCGTAATTAATTAGTCTTTAGTTTCATATGTTTTATTCAAAACATAATAACGAGTCGATTGTTATGACAATCAGTGCTTAGGATTTGGTTTTAAAATAAATATAAAAATTGATTTCCAATTCATTTAAATCACATGTCATTGAGTCTAACGCAGAGTCATGTAGTCGTGTCATTGGCTGCCATTAGCTACCGGTTCTGCGGCATCCGTTTGGTCACTCTTTTTAGCGTTTTGGTCGTCGGGTTTCATGGCCGGGAAGAACAGCACTTCCTTTATGTTATTGGAATCCGTCAAAAACATGGCCAACCGGTCGATACCGATGCCGACGCCTCCGGTGGGCGGCAGTCCGTACTCGAGAGCGTTGCAGAAGATCTCGTCGATCCCATGCGCCTCGTCATCACCGGCCGCTTTGGCCGCCGCCTGCTGTTCGAAGCGCTGTCTCTGAACGAAGGGGTCGTTGAGTTCAGTGTATCCGTTGACCACTTCTTTGCGAGTTATAAAGAGCTCAAAGCGTTCGGTGAGACCCTGTTTAGAGCGATGCCATTTGGACAGTGGGCTCATTATAGTCGGGTGCTCTATGATGAACGTGGGGTCCAAACAGTTCACTTCAATGAACTCTCCGACCAATTTGTCCAGAAGTCGAGCGCTGGTTCGCGGCGCCGGACACTCGACCTCATGTTTGACACAGAGATCCGATAAGAACTTATTGCCCGCTTCGGTGTCCAGTTGTGTGGCGTCCGGGAACTGAACGCCCAGTTTTGTCTCCAACTCGGGAATCATGGGAACGCGTCTGAAGGGAGGCATGAAATTCATGACCACTGGATCTCCTTCCGGGCCGTCGGGATGGTATGTCACCTGATATTTGCCGAAAATATGCAAAACCAGACCCGAAATCATGGTCTCGACGATCACCATCAGGTCGTTGTAGTCGGCGTATGCCATATAGAACTCACAGGTCGTGAACTCTGGATTGTGTGTCAAATCGATACCTTCGTTGCGGAACTGTCTGCCGATCTCATAGACCCGATCGATGCCACCGACGACTAACATCTTGAGGTACAGCTCGGGTGCGATTCGCATAAATAAATCCATATTCAGGTCGTTGTGATGCGTGACGAACGGCTTGGCAGTGGCGCCGCCGGCGATCATATTCATCATCGGTGTCTCGACCTCAAGGAATCCCAAGCCGTCGAAGAAGTCGCGCAGATATTTAATGATCTTCGCTCTGGTCATGAACTTCTGGCGCACCGTTTCGTTGAGTATTAGATCCAGATATCGCTGACGAAAGCGCTTCTCTTTGTCTTTGAGGCCGAAGTGGAGGTGCGGCACCTGATGGAGACATGGCGTCAACAACTCGATCTTCTTGGGAACGACACTCAACTCTCCCTTTTTGGTCTTTCCCGGCCAACCGACGCACCCGATTATGTCACCCCTTCTGATCTTATCGTTGTCTTTGAGGAACTTCTGCTCACTCTCGTAGAGCCGCGCGTTGGCCATCACCTGAATCTTCTTGCCCTCAGCCCTGAGGTCATAGAATATCAACTTCTGTCCGGACTCTCTCTTCGCGTGCACTCTGCCCGCGACCGACAGCTCATCCGTCTGTACCATGTCTTCAGGCTTGAGGTGATCGTACTTTTGGATGAAATGCGTTAAACTGGTGGTCACGTGGAACTTGTGTGGGTACGGGTGCTCTCCGGCGCCCTTCAGCTCATTGATGGCTTTGGATCGGATCACGAAGTATTCATTTTCATCCAATTCTTCCTCTTTAACCGCCGCTGACTTGGCGTTCGCCGATTGGCTGTCATTGGCGGCCGTCTCTTGTCTGAGGGCCTCCTTCTCCTGCCTTTCCTTTTCCTTCTTCTGCTCTTTGAGTCGTCTTTTTAACTCATTTTTACTGATCTTCGGATCTCCAGACGTTTCGCTCATTTTCCTCACAAATACTTTGTTTCTTTGATTATCTGTTAATAGAGACCATTAATAGACAGGCAATCAGTCATCAAATGGCAGACCTCTTAACAAATGCTTTGATAGGCGACTGATTTGTGGCACAAATCTGCTGAACATATAATCATCGAAATTGTGACACGTTTTGAGACAATTATCTCACAATCAATGAGTTTGTGATGCAATTGAGTCCACGCTTGACATCAGTCTGTCGTCTCTTAGGTCTCGTCTTTCATCCAACAGATGGACACACAGTCTCTCACTTGAAGTCACTTCAAACTCTTGTCAAGTCTTTTGAGATTAAAAAAGTTTTTATATTAATTGCGATTAAATATGATTTCTCTTGAAATAAACGATTGTTTCGATGAAATAGTTAATAAAGACTTAAATAAGTGCACAAATTGTTGTGTCATTTGACACACTTTTTTGGATACAAACGAGGACCGATACCGGTTCAGTGACCGATACTTGAACGTCAACTTCAGTGATAGTGGAGGAAGGCTTTCAGTATAGAACTTGTTTTCGGGGACAAGATATCTCTTAAAACATAAGAAATTAAAGAAATTAACGGATTTAAACCATCAAATTATAATCCAGGTATTTTAAACCGGGTAATTATTACATGAGTACTGTACGACTGTATAATAAAATATTGGTGTAATTTATTTTATATTAAATTAATTTAAAACTTGTATAAAAAATGTTAATTTTTACAAATAGATATAGAAGTAAATAAAAGTTATATTAAATAAGATTTAAATTTAACAATAAATATTAGACAAAGATTGAGATCAATGACTGAGCGGAACAGGTATTAGAAGTGTGTCCACAGATATAAAGCAAAATAAGGCGAAACAACGGCTGTAATAAGATTTGACATTAAATTCACAGAATGGTTGTCCAGTATAGGCCGACCACAGATGTGCTTCACATGAATGGCCTCTTTCTCTACAACTTTTTTAGTCCTTTTATCGATTCCTGAGTACTGAAGAGTTGCTCCTAAGAGAGAGTCAACTAAAGAGCCGAAGAGACCAGAAAAGAGTCCGACGATGAGGAGTGGCCACTGTTGGGGACTCGCATCGTATGTCTCACTGTCGACACAAATCTTTAAAGTAATTAGAAATCCAAATGAGACCACAATTCCTCCCAAAGCGCTGACAATAAGTCCGATGAAAGAGATCCCGCCGTTTGTTCCTTTGGGGACCGGCTTTAAGGTTGTGATGAGATATGGATTTCCTTTCGATAGGACTGATCCCAGTTCTGAAGCCCAGGTATCGCCGTTCGCGCAACAAAGCGCTCCCAACACACTGATCGCCAACAGAGATGTTTTGTAATCAGTGATGAAATTAATTGGCGTCTCTCCGGACCCGTTCTCCAAGAGGTAGAAGAGTGCCAACTCTGTGGCCACTCCTCCGTTGCAAATCACTTGAACCCAATTCCGTTGTCCGCCTTCTCGGAAATCTTCGTCTATTTCTCGCTTTCGTTCGCTTTTATACTTTGTTGCCATCGAAGAGGTGATGAAGAATACCAGAAGGGATACAGTGAAGCAGTAGTTGCTTAGAGTCGACACAAAGCCAAACACCATTGCTGTCCAAACATGTCATCCAACATGAGATCAAGTCTTCAAAGTAATACAAATACAACAATAATCTCATACCGACTGCGAAACCACTGATATTTAAGCTCTTCTTCGTGATGGCTCTCCAGCCGACGAAAGCCGGGATTAATAGAGATAATAGCCATCGGAATGGAGAGGCCAGTTGTGTCACCTCTGGAGACAATTCATGTGATTATTGAACTGACGGTACAGTTAATGGCATTTAAATGGCAAACCATTTGATGAATAGATGACACAAACGAACCAAAAGAAGAGAGAAATCGGCAAAAATAGGGACAAAACTGTGGCTAAAATCATATCAATTGAATGTCAGTTAACTCTTACTCTTATAGTTATATAAGTGTTAATTAAATTGAATTAAAAGTCATAAAATGTAATAATTATAAGAATTAGCATTGAATGTGCCAATCATCATATAATCATCATATAATCATCATATAATCATCATATAACACACATGTGTTTACTATTTAATAACAGTTATCAGATTATAATGATATTAATATGACTTTTCATTCAATTTATTTAATTAACAATTATGAAGACTTTACGCAAATATGTAAACATGAAAGACATTTGGATTTGAGATATAAGACAAATAAAACTACATTAAGATTAAGTTAATTACAGACTCACAACCGGTAAAGAAAAATGAGTATTATATTAGGTCTTAACGTAACAGTAATACAGTAGTCTTTTCACTGCATTTCTATTCACTAACAATAATACACTAAACTTGAGTGCTTTAGTGCTTTAGTGAGCCAACACTTGAATCCAGTTTTGCTCAAATGCTAATTATTAGAGTCTATGACTCGATGATCATGGTTATACTGTAATACTCTACTGTATATTGTATTCATATTCATCAACTTTTCGAGTTTGAAAACTACAATTAGCAGTTGAATCTTTTTCTAATAATTTTGTTATCAATACTTAACTTTGATATACTTTATACAATTCATAATTACTAAGAATAATTAAGTTTAATATCTACCGTAATTCAATAGAATTTTTAACCTAAAGACTATTGTGAAATGATCAATTGTTACGTTTTGAAAATTAAACCTGACAAACTCTTTAAGTGGTCAAATATATACCGTACGGTATATCGAAAAAAACAATTATCTTTTTATTTAAGTATTAATTAAAAAACAATAATTTAATAAATAAAACAGTTATTTAATTAAAATGACATACATTAGTGTACAGTATTTGAAATAATTAAAAAACTTATTAACAAAATATGAAAACTATTTGACAGATTAAAATTGTTGTAAACTTTGGATCGCAGTATTTAATTTTCTAACACATTCAACACAACTGCAGTTTGCAATACAAAATATTTACGATATATTTAATAATTAATATACTATTTAGTGAAGACATTTAAGAGCTATTGAAAGCACATGAAAATCACTGCTATTGTTGCGTATGAGTGTTACCATTAGTATAGCAGTGATTGTTATCGGAGTTATGGTTGGAATCGCTGCCTATCCTCGAGTCAGATGTTTGGCTCGAAGTGTGCTCTTCACGAATGTCCAGTCCTGAGAAACACATCATTTAAAAATGGTTTAAAACATTCATATCAATCAAACCATTCAAATAGCATTACTTTCTCTGAGCCTTTGTTCGTGTTCTTTAAGTCCTAACTGTCCGTAAAGACTTAGAATATGCTGTTCTAACTGTTGGATCACTTTCTTGAGGCCATCGATCCTTTGCTGCTCGACCTGAAGAACACAACAATTCATGTATAAGTTTATGTCTGAGAGACAGATCAGATCAGATGAGATCAGTTCAGTTCAGTTCAGTTCACCTGTAATTGCTTTTTATGCCTTATTTTATTGCTTTCAATCGTTTGCTTTTGTTCAGCGATTATGTGATCTTTTTTAGTGATTAGTGAATCAATTTCATTACTCATCAGTTCAGTTCAGTTCAGTTCACCTGTAATTGCTTTTTATGCCTTATTTTATTGCTTTCAATCGTTTGCTTTTGTTCAGCGATTATGTGATCTTTTTTAGTGATTAGTGAATCAATTTCATTACTCTTGAGTTTATAGACTTCCATTTGATGGACAGTTGTCTCCAATTTTAATCTCAAATCTAGTGAAACACAAATGGGTGTCAAATAAGTGTCAAATAAGACCCAATTGTCAACACTATAGTCACACCTTTGATCTCCTTATTCCTCACTTCAGACTCGATGGCAATCATGTCATCGAAAGTGGCGTTTTTGTTGACCACAGCCAGTGTCAAATAAGTGTCAAATAAGACCCAATTGTCAACACTATAGTCACACCTTTGATCTCCTTATTCCTCACTTCAGACTCGATGGCAATCATGTCATCGAAAGTGGCGTTTTTGTTGACCACAGCCAACCTGTCCTTCAATCCCTGGTAGAGCTCTGACAGCATTAACACCTGAGTCTTCAGATTGGAGTTGTCTTTGCGGACCACTTCGATGCTGTCGTTCTGCTTGTCTGCACGCCTCAGGTCTTCCTCCAGTTCCAGACACTTGGCCTCTAATGTCTGGTAATTAAGGTGAAGAACTCTGTTCTGCTCCTTATATAAGCCGACGTTCTCTTCCAACTCGCGGTTCGTGTCCTCCAGTTGTCTGCATTGAGTCACATGAGTGAGCAGTTCTTCGCGCAGACGCCTCCTCTCAGCGGTCGTCTCCGACTCGTACGCCACCATCTCTTGCCTCGCGTTCAGCAGTTCCTGTCTTAAGCTATCGATCTCTCTCTCCTGAAGCAGCAGCTGATCCGTCTGTGCCATCAGCTTCTCAGCGATGGCCGCACTCTCCCTCTCCTTCTCGACCACAGCCTTCTGCGTCCCTTTCGTCGTCTCCTTGTGCTCTTCGGACACACTTTCGGACATCTCTGGTGTCGCTCCGATTGTCTGATTGTCTCTCAAATGCAAATCCAATGCAAAACTAATAATCGTTTTGTTGATCAAAAGTGTCTTCACTTTGACGTCAAGTCATGTCAACAAACAGTTGATCTCTCATTCACTCGACAACCCATTCATAAACAACGTTACGTACTCTTCACACATACAGTAAGGCAATGGGAATGAGGGGCACAAATTGAAATGATTTGCTTTAATAGAGAAATAAGTATTTATTGAAATCTAATCATTATTTATTAAATATTAAAATTAAAAAACATTTTTTGAATTTCAGTTTAAAATGATTTCCCAAACAATTAGAGGAGGAATCGGAGAACCACTGGTGACTACAGTCGTGTGGATTAAGTCATGGCTCCGAACACTGGATTGTGGCGACAAATACTGGGGCCGTACTCCTCATACTGTGCTTTCGTATGACACACCGGATAGAACTCGGGGGTCGAGGCCAACATACTGCCCCCAAACCACACGGCATACCGTTGCATGTGATGGGAGACCACCTGTACTTCGATGGGCTTAGGGTTGAGCCGCCCCTGACTTAATGAATAACTCAGTTTAAGTCTTCCGCTCACTATTCGCTGGATATCTCGCTGTAGGCGTCGGTCGAAGTCCTTAAACATTGTCGAACCGCCCGATAACACAATGTTCTGCACATCAATGGGACAGTCGTGTCAATGAGTGGTTACCAATGAACGGCACTTACCTTATAGAGAGGGCGTCTCACATCGATGGGACAGTTCTGAATACATGTGTCCACTGTTTCCGACAGAGGGGTCACGAAGTCTGGGTTCGCGATCTCGGGATTGAAGAACACTTCGGGCCCTAAGAATCGCTCGAAACCGACGTCCACTTCAAAGGGCTGTTTAGTGATGGCATTCCTGGCGCCGAACTTCTTAATCCATTTGCTGGGATTCGAGTCATACCTCTCGAACTCTTTGGCGATGTCGGGACACACGTAACAGAAGCGCTCTTTGATGGCTTTGGCCGTCTCTAAGGACTGTGTCGGAGGAATACCCATCTCTCGCTCCCGCAACAGGTTTTGTATGAAATAAGTGATATTACGGCCGGCAATGGGAATGTGTTTAATACAACTGCCGATCACATAGCCCTCGGCCACTGGTATGCAATGAGTGACGCCATCGCCGGAGTCTATGACAATCCCAGTGAGGGTTCGTTCGCCCACTTGTCTCGACGTCCACGAGGCGGCCAACGCGAGCACCGCCTGTACGGCGATGTAAAGACCCGGAACATTGAACGACTCGAACATTATTTCCGCCGTATATTCGCGGTTCTCAGGCGTATTGAGCGGCGGTTCCGTCAGCAGGAAGTAGTGGTCTTCCGGCTCAGCCCTTAAGTACTTGAATATACACTGTTCCCAATACCGCTCCATTAGGTCCCAGTCCTCCACTATTCCGTGTCGTATTGGGTACTATTGGGGACAGTATTAGAGTATTAGTGGTCACTATAGAGAGACAAGTGTGCACTGAGTGGCCATACCTTCACCGTATACGCCGACTGATTGTCGAGAGCCTCATCACCGATGAAGAAGTCGAGGTCATCGATACCTCTGGCGAGTCGTCTGGAGGCCTGATCGCCAACATTGGGCGCCTCCTTGATGGCGATGGCCGACGGGATTATGAACTGCGGCTCACGATTGCCGGCGTAACCCAGTTTGGTGTACCTGTTAGGGCAGTATCAGGGCATCAGTGAACACTCCATCAAGAGCACTGGTAGGTGTCATACCCGGTGCCGTTGTCGATAACGATGGCTGGCAGTCGTCCGGCCATTTGTGGTGCAACTGATGGCTGAGTTGACGACCAAATGAAAGGAAACAAACTTCACTGAATTGAATTCAATTGACAACAAGTCGTGAATCACTTGATGTCACACCCATTGACTCACTGCTCGTCAATTGCTCACTCATTGCATTGCAGTCACTGCACAGTCAACACAACATTCATGTATACCGTGACATATAGAGGGGTGCGAACTGTAAATCAATATCAATTTGATTGTGTCAATGTTTTTCGCAGTACTGTATCCTATTTTATTACAATTGAATCACTTATCATATAATCATAATTATAGATATAAAGTGGTTAAAACTGAATTAGTGTATAAAACAATATAATAATACCATAATAGATTATAGCATAAATATATTTTAAGTTTACATATTTATATTTGTATACTTCCTTAGTAAGGAATCCTTACAGTTTGACTCTATATTATAATCACTTAGAAGTCTTTTATTCAGAAATTCTGAATCAGAATACAATTAAAGATATTTCTAGTTATGATATTAGATATTATACTGTATATAATTTAATTTAAAGTATCAAAAAATATCAAAATCAATTGTTTTAATTCAAATATTTGGAACTAAAACTTATTTACTGATTTGATTACGCTTACTTATTTTAATACAGGAACTTATAAACTTGAAATATACATAATATTCATAATTCTTTAACAATTTTTTTGTAACATTTAATATCTATTATAAATAGAATATTATGTTATGTAAAAATTGGTCATTGTCACCCTTGTATAATACTGTACTTGGAGATTGTGAGATTTGAGATATAATTGTGAGAATACAACAGGTTTATAAAATTGTTGAATTATTTTTAATCAATCAATTCCTTCGCGTTATTCGCAAATTATTTTTTAATTTAGTAAAAATAATCAGTTGATGTTGTGTATAGTCAATATAAAATGCCATAATTTTCTAATAATTTTATTTGTAAAATTAAATATTAATAGTTTATCATTTGTATATTAATGACCAAGTAAGTATAACTGAAATTTTTTTAATGTACTATTAATTTTAATGCATTTTTCATTTATTTTTGAAAATTATGGAAAGTCTAGTAATATATGGAAAAGGCAATACAATATGTTATTAACTAACAAAAAGAGAGTCTTGATAAGAACAAAGTTTTATCTATAATATATGTTTTGGATACAGTTCTCCAGGTTGTTTCAATTATCTTATAAATGACATAAAGCCCCATCAAAATATAAACACATTAAATGAAATAAAGTCATCCCAGGGTTTAGGAATAGGGGGATTTAAAAATTGGAAGTTAATAACAAAAAGTGTATTGATTTTTCTATTCAACTATTCAATTCTCTCAAACTATTCTTTTTGATACAATTTTCTAATGTATTGACAATATTGTTGTTTAACAAATTTGGAAAATCCCGAATTAATTAATAGTCTGGAGTTAATTTTAAAAGTTTGCAAGAACATAACTTTTGGAAAAAATGTTTTAAAAAGTAAATGCAGGCAACTTTTATTGAGGATTTTTATATATTATTCTGAATGATATTCTCGTTATTCTTGTGATACAAGACATGCACCGATCGATGAGAGGGTCAGTACTAAGCGCCGACACTCCGTTGTATTCGTTCTCATCTTCTGATCATTCATTGATTTTTTTCGAGTCATGCCTTCAGTTATCGTATTATGAAATACTTAAATACCAAACATTCAGTATTTATAGAACAGAAATTGCTGTTAATTTGTTCATAACTTTATATTCTTCTGTTGGTTACAAATATTGTGTCACAAATATATTGATACATATTTTAGAGGTTTATTGAGTCACTAAAAAGATATAATTTATTGGCAATAATTGTTATGAAATTTATCTATCATTTTCCAAGGAATCTATTTTATTAAAAAAAAGTTTAAATATCTCTAAATTTACTTCCAAATTATTTTAGTGTTTGATATCAATATAACAGTTAATCCACGTCTCAGCCCATCAAAAGGTCAGTTTGTTTTACATCTCAAATAGTGCTAAATTGCTAATTTGTTGAAGCTAACAGATTTGTAGTAAATACATTTATTGTTTGATCTTATTTTCGTAAACATAAACATGGAATGACAAAATAATTTCATGTTTATACACGTATTAATCAACATTTTTGTTATTAATTTTCATTACAGAAATCTTTACCTTCATTTTAAAATTTATTTCATATGGGAAATTTTAAGTAATTAAAATAAATGATATTTAATGCAAATTCCATTAAAATTTTAATAATATTAAAAAATAATTTTAAATTCCCAGCTATATTAAGTCTTCTAATGTGTTAAATCACATTTCATTTACTGTTTTTAAAATGTATTCATAATTAATATGTTTTAGTTAAGGTAATATTATTTAGTTTTATTACCAATTCTGTGCTCTATTTCATCTCATTATATGCTAAGAATCTCTTTCAAAGCACTCAATTGCCGGTACTTTTATGTTAAATCAAATACATTACAACAGTATAGTGTTGTTCTATATTTAGCATATTTTATCAATTATTAACAGCTCTCTCTCTCTTCTCTCTCTCTCTCTCTCTCTCTCTCTTATAAATCAATTTATTTTGAAAAATTCTTATCAAAGAAAAACTTACTTAAAATTAAAGTAAATAATTGATAGAGTAATACAAACTTATGATTTAGATTACTTCAATGATTAAAGTGTTTTTGATTTATAGAATACATTTCCTTCTCGACAACTGATCCAATATTTTGTAAGTTTTTATATTTTCATGAAAATATATATGCTAACTAATGTTTGACTTTTTGGTATTTATTGCGTTTCTTATATACTTTATAATATTTATTAAGTTTATGGAAAAATCAATAAATAGTCCAAATTTTAATGATTTAAAGTTACCTTCAAATTGACTTTTATTTGCCAACTATTGTAATCAATAATTTGCTATATTTGCATGTTTTACGTAATTTTATTTATAGAATTTATTACATTTATAAACTTGGATAGTTTATTCTATCATAATTTATTGCAAGTGTACTTATATTTTGTAAATTTATTAACAAGCTAAACTATTATTTCTTAAGATTCATTATCAATTATAAGTGATTATTTTCGGCACATTTTATTTTATAATATAAATTGATAAACATTTTATATTATTTTCTAAAAAATATTTTATTGTTTTGTTTACGACTTAATTATTTCTAAAACTGAATAGACTTGAAGTTTAGGCCAAAAATTATGGTGAATTGGTTTTCATGTTTAGTGTTGTTTTAATTCTTATTTTCTCAATTAATTTACTCACATTTTACAGTACTTTTAGCTAGTTAAATCATTAATTATTCCTAAGCACTTTATTTTTATTTATTAAAATTATAAGAGTTTAAGAGTTAAATATAAGTATATTATGAATATAAATTATAAATAACAACTAGGTAAGATATAATCGTGATTTTATTTAAAACTTGTTTAAATAGATAAATAAAATATTATTTTATAATAAGGCTTAATAATAAGGCCTAATAAGGCTTTTCTAAGTTAATACATTAAAATATTAAATGATAACAAAAAATGCTATGATTACAATATTGGATAATTTCCAGAATAACATTCATTAAAAATGGGAAATCAATTGAAACTGAATGGAGAGTGAATGGTATAACGTCTGGAGTGTAGTGTCAGTAACGTTGTCCATCATCGGTGTGTACTCTCTAATGGCTTTCCGTAAACCCAAACCCATCGGTGAGGGAATCAATTTCGACGAACAATCGGTTGTGACAGATGTGAGACACAAACGCTTTTATTAATTATTTATACAGTATATCCATTCACTTAATAACCACAGGATTTACCACTTTTCACATTCATATATAATTTATAATTCATATATAGTAGGAATATGATTGCATTAGTTTCTGTAAATATTAGTTTCCAAATACCCTTTAGAATTTAAAAAAAAAATTATATACACATTTAAATTTACTTATAGTAGTTTTCAAATAAGTTAGTTTTTGGAATTTAAATGTCTCGTATTATGGTAAATTAGATATGTCAAAAATATTTAATGACAAAACCATTTCCCATTAAACTTATTTGGTTGTATAAATACAAATATGATGTGTAAATGAATTGATTGTATGGTTGTATTGAATGTATTTATAGAACGAATTATTAGTGAGAAAATCGCAAATTTATGAGAGAAGTGATCCCTTAACCCATCTCTTCACTGATGCCCTCACCTTAGATCAAGTCTTATCGCGTGGTTCTAAAGAGTCAGGTATTGCTATACTTTGAGCACTTCTTTAATGATTGAAGCAATTGTTTGCCTAATTGGTGTCAATCACTGTCTAATGCAATGCTTCAGTGGACGGCAATTGTTTGGGAACTATCAATAAGAAGAGCAATTCGGTGGACTGGATCACTTATGCTCAAGTGCTCGAACGGATCAACAACTTCGGCAATGGACTCATTCATATGGGTCTCAAATGTGGACAAAACACATTCATCGGCATCTATGCAACCAATTGTGTGGAGTATGTGTTCGCAGAGTACGGCGCTTATACCCAATCCATGGTTGTTATACCACTCTATGACACACTCGGACCAAACGCCTGTCGTTATATCATTAACAAAGGTTTGAATGAATTAATACTCTATTAATATATTTTTGAATACAATAACAATATTTATTATTATTATTATTTAAAAATTAGCCGAAATTTCTTGTGTTGTATGTGATAAAGAAGATCGATTCCAAACATTATTAAGTCAAGCAAATAACATGTCTTCTCTTAAATACATTATCATAGCCAACGATATTCCTCAAAGTTATAAAAGCAAAGGTATTGAATAATTGATTTAAAGACATTATTTCAAAGATAATGATTCTTATTTATACCTTTCAAAGCAATCAATTATGGGATTAAAGGTATGAATATAATATCTGTAGCTATTTTTGTCATAAAACTAATAATATTATTTATATACTAGTATTGACTGTTAAAGAAATTGAGTGCTTGGGCCAAAAGAACCCTGTAGATAATTTTGTAAGATTACATTTTTTACAACAATTTTTGATAGAATATAAATTTATCAGTCTAATAATTAGACTCTAATTGAAGTTTGTATTATAGCCTCCAAAACCTGAAGATTTAGCTGTAGTTTGTTATACGAGCGGAACTACTGATCTGCCCAAAGGTAAGAATTATTTTGTATTTATTTTATAATTTATTAAATACTTTAATGGATATCATTTGTAAATGATAGGAAAATATTGTTAGTGTTGATGATAAATACAGTACATGTATCCATATTGGTTTATGTAATTCATAAAATCAAATACAGTATATTGATACTCTTATTATTAAACATTAAACAAAACTAACAATTAAAATTATATAATTATAGTTTATTTAAATATAATATAAATATTATGATATAAATAATTAATTATTAACTTTCTTTAAAATTATTTTTAAAGGCGTTATGTTAACTCATAAGGGAATTATTTCCAATATCTGTGCCGTACTGTACCAAATGGTAAGTTATTTAATTTTAAAATGCAGGTATTATTAAATTGCTATTTAAAATTTTAGTAATATCAAGAATATACTACATTTATTGTTGTCATCAGAATATTATAATTCCAATATACAGATTGGTTTTATTTTGTAGTAAAAATTTACGACAATGAAAAACCAATCAATACAGACTAATTATAGACTAATCTAGCAATTTTTGACAAGACTATATCAGGATATGAATGAATGCATTGCCTTGACTTACAGGGAGATGAGGCGACCAACAAGAATGACACAATGCTATCGTTCCTGCCTTTGGCCCATATGTTTGAGAGATGTTGTCAGGTATTCATTGATTCATTCAATTATTGATAACACTATGTATGAAATAAATCCATTGTATTAATTGATGGCAAGTCTGCAGTGTTTATGGTGGGCGGGAAAACTGCCTTCTTTAGCGGAGACATCAAGTATTTGCCCGAAGATATGCAAATAGTGAAGCCTACTGTACTGGCCGGTTAGCTCATTTTATTACGCGATTACTGTTATTATTGTTGTTATTATCACTATTTACCCCATTATATAATTTATATTACTTTATAAGGTTGCAAATTATTACTACAGAATATTCTGAACATTTTTACCATAACATTTTTGTCTTAAACTATTAAAGAATATTTATATAGAATTTGCTTTAATTAATAACAAAACTATTTGTTATCATAGTACTTTTAAAAAATAGTTTTGTTAAACTTGTATTATTTGATTGATTTAGTGGTGCCGCGAGTGCTGACCCGTGTCTATGATAAGTGTCACTCAAATATTAAGGGAAGTAAATTGAAGGAATGGCTGCTGAGGAAAGCTATTGAAAGCAAACAATCAGAGATTGAGAGAAGAATAATCCGGAAGAATAGTATTTGGGATAAAATAGTCTTCAAAAAGATTCGCAACGGTTTGGGAGGAAAGGTGCGTCTGATTGTGTGCGGGGCCGCCCCTCTCAGTCCCAATGTCCTCGAGTTCATGCGATGCGCCTTAGGATGTGTGGTATGACTGACTGAACATGAATTGAAATTTTAATTTTTATTCATTTGTTTTCATTACAACGTATAGATTATTGAAGGCTATGGCCAGACGGGTCAGTACTTTACTAAAATCTAATGGAAAAGTGTTTATATTTTTCTTATTTATTTAATAGAGTGTGTTTGTCCCTGCACTCTCACACTCCCCGGTGATTATGAAACAGGTATGTTAGATTTGAATTCATAATTGTTATATAAGTGCCGGTAATAATGAAGTGTATGTGTGCTCAGGACATGTGGGACCACCACTTCCGTGCTGCTCAATACGGTTAGAAAGTGTGCCGGAAATGGAGTACTTTGCCAGCGATGGCAAGGGAGAGATCTGTGTGAAGGGACCCATCGTTTTCAAAGGATATTTCAAAGACGCAGAAAAGACATCGATTGTGACTCAGAGTGACGGCTGGCTAAAGACTGGTGATATCGGGCAATGGACTCCGGTATGGATTGATGTGATAAGTGGACAGTTATTAATAGTGTATGTCCTCTGTATGGGAACGCATAGAACGGAACTCTGCGTATAATAGACCGGAAGAAACACATCTTTAAGCTGAGTCAGGGCGAATACATCGCTCCCGAGAAGATTGAGTCGGTTTACAGTAAGAGCCAATTCGTCGCTCAGATCTTCGTCTACGGCGAGAGCTTTAAGTCATGTTTAGTGGCGGTTGTCGTCCCGGAAGTCAGTGTCTTAACCCTTTGGTGTCGTAAGAATAATATCAGAGGAACTCTAAGAGATTTATGTCAAAACAAAGTGAGATTTGTCTCGCATTCAACTCATTGTGAGTTTAATATTCATTTCAATCTCCAAAGGATGTGAAGAGAGCGGTGATGAACGACTTGTTAGGTGTGGGCAAAAAGGAAGGCCTACTTGGCTTCGAACAGCTCCGAGATATTTATCTACACTACGAGGCCTTTACTATCGATAACGGATTGTTGACCCCGACACTTAAGACTAAAGTAAATCAAACTAAATGATGATATTGTCCTTACATAAAATTTTTAATAACTATTCTATGAATTAATGTTAAATTTATTTTTAAATTGAAAACTAATTGTTTGTTTGAATTGATTGCAGAGAATAGAAATCCGAAACTATTTCGGGCGTCAATTGGAAGATATGTACCGATCATTGGATTGAATGCAATAATGGCTCATATATTCACTTAAATATTAGATTATTTTATAAATCTCTAGAAATAATTGCATCATACTAATAACACTAAAACTATTTTATCGGTTATTTGTCAAAAGTGCTAAAATATAAAACTATAGATCTTGAGTTAGGACTGCATTAATGTGATTATTGTAGTCCTATTGGGATAGGGTCTACAAATTGTGATGATTTTGTGTGATCTATGAATTACATTCATTTATACAGTACAGTATAACTTAATGCCTTTACATAATTATTAGTTATTTTAACTCATATTTCTATAGACAATTCAATTGCAATATACGGTAATTTGGACTTTTATGCACTCATTGTGTGCAGTGCTTAACACGAATTGAAGTGAGAAAACAATTTTATAATTATTATTTATATTTGCATTCCAGTTGTGATAAGAATTTATGCCCAGGTTAGTTTTAGACTCAAATGCAATCAAATATTATGCACTTATTTCTATAATCATATTAATCATTGATTATATACTGGTTAATATAAGTATATTAATTTAGTTTGTCGTAATACAATAAAAAAAACTAAAGCCTTTGTACTGAAAACCTAAATCTGAAAGCACTGATAGACTATTAATAATAGTTTTTAACTATTTTTGAAAACACTGGAATACACTAGGTATTATATAATAGATTCACAAAAATACTGTAAAGTACAGTATATCTTATTCCAGCAAGTATACTATAGTGAGAATTAATTGACAAATTAGTCTGTTAGTATGAATGAACCACAATATTGTGAGCAATCATTTCACTATTAAATATAACTACTGTATAAGTTAGTAAATGAGATCAAACAAAAAAGTGCTCACGGTCACTTTGTCCAATACCTGTCCATTAAACCTACAGTATACTACTCTACAGTCAACAATATTCCACTCAATTATATCATTAAAAGTCAAAACTAATTGTTTTACTTAAATATTTTTCCTTTATTTTAATTTTTAGCAAAAGTTTTATAAAAATAAAAATGAATCACATATAATAACAAATTGAAGTTACAATTTTAAAAAGTTGAATACAAGTTTGTGTCAATGTGTTTACAATACTTTATGATACCATAAAACAAAAGTACAGGTATTGTTCACTGTATTAGTGAATGCAATGATGCAACCAATTNCATAAAACAAAAGTACAGGTATTGTTCACTGTATTAGTGAATGCAATGATGCAACCAATTCATGTAATCATACAGTAATGAATGTGATATTACTGTATATTTATTATATACCACCATCTAGACAATATTTGTATATAAGATAATTATGACATATCATGAGATTATATACTTAGATATTGACATAAGTTAATAGTTTGTTTATAATAGGAAACCCCTTACTTTAACCGTCATTTAGATTTGCTAATTTATAAATTGAATTTAAGTTTAATTGTGAAATCTAACAATTTTATTTTAAATACGTACTCAAAATGATCATAATGGTGTGGTTATTTTATTTTTATAATTTGTGGTACCGTAGTAATCCAGATCTAAAGTGATAAACTTGGGAATTTTGTTTGGCATTTTTAAGAATCTCTATGTAAAAATAAGCTGTGCATAGCTTGCGATACACGTATGGTTAAATGACACATCCAATAAAATGGGTTATATTCTGGTTTCAAGGCGTGAATCTGGTTAATTTGTGTTCATGAACCTAGATTCATACTAAAACACACATAATTATCAGAAATAATTAAAATAACTATTAAATTTAAAGAAATTAGTAGATAATTTCCCGAAAATTGTTGCCAAAACATGTTCTGGAGACTACCTCTTTAGATGTGGATCACTTTAATACCATTAATGATAAAAATAAAATTACCATACGAACTTGATGATTATTAACATATATTTAAAACAAAATTGTTAGATTTCATAATTAAACTTAAATTCAATTTATAAATTACGTTTAGATTTACTGCCAATTTCATTCCCCAAAGGATAATATTTGTTTGATAATTGAATACAGTTATAGATTCATATATTAGAGTACTATACAGTATTAATAGAATATATGTTTATAACAGATCTACC